ATATATATTCTATCGTTTAAAACGAGGTTTCCACCACGCGCACGTTTTACCTGCTTCATTGATATAAAATATTACGAATGCAGAGGTGAAGCAAAACCAACGATTACAAAGCTGAGATTTATTTTAATTAATAATAACTTTAAAATAATCTCTATATAATTATAATTCTCTTTCACACCGATTTTGTTTTACCCTTTCTTCGAATGTGTCTCGTGCAAACAATCCATCACTGATTTCTGATAGGTAAACGAGTGTTTGCAATTTGTATAAGTATATACGCATTTTGCAAGTGTGGTGTTGATTCTTTTGCGAAATAATCGTCGAGGGCAGTGCCTGCCATACGTCAAGGATACTTACAAGTGTACTTCAAGTCTATATATATAAATGTATGTATATATATGTATACTTGTCCAATATTTATATATTTTGATATATGTACAGATAAATGTTTTATTCTTTACCTTTATTTCTCTACACGTTTCAGTAAAAAAAGATCATCACTTGGAGCATTTATGTTAGAAGTAGCCACTTTCTCTTTCCCTCTTTCTTTTTCTTTCTTGTCCTCTCTGAAAGTCCAGTATGGGTAAATTTTATATCGGATTTTTTTTTCTTTCTCTTTTTTTTTAATACAGTCGCATCAGAGGCTTATTAAGGACTTATTGTGTATAAATAAATAGCAACAAGAACAGGGAGTTGTTTAAACGTCATTCCACTCAGTCCTCTTTTCGTTAAATATTAGTGTTCTCTCAATTCTCGTGTCGCATGTCGAAGGAAACGTAATGTTTAGTATTGTCAGTTCTATATTATCGATTCGATTACTTTTCCGTCTGCTGCGTTTGTATTTTTCGTCACTTTTATGTCCCGATTATGAATAACACCAGGCTTATATAACATGGACAAGTTACAGCTAAGAATGCGTAATAACTCAATGTAAATTAGCCATAGGATTACGAGAATTTTTGCTGTACTTGAACATGCAATTATTATCTTTTAATCATATGCACGTGTATTCATATACACATCTTCTCAAATTCGTGACCCGGGATCTAAAATTTATCAGACGTTCCATTACGTTTCATTCAAAAGGCATTCGTATACACTCGCATTTAACGTTCAACATTGTAATATTATCGACATTATCATTAAATAACATTCACAATACCTAAATTTAATAATAAAAATACCTAAATCACAACGTGTCACGCGCGGTCACTTCATGGCTACAAAGAACTGGCTTTCCAGTCTGTCGTTTGCATTAGTTATGTTATTCTGTCAAAATGCAGGAAATGTCTCGAGATTATAGAAACAATTTGAGAAGATCGCATGACAAAATTATAATTTTTTTTAACGTTATGTTCCAATAACAAAGCTATATATACTAAGCAATATATATATATATATATATATATATATAATATATATTATATATATATATATAGTATAAGCAATGTTACATAAAATTTATAAAACTACCTCCTTTTAAAATAATTTTTAGCATCGTTCAGCTTTCACAGTTGCATGAATTATCGTTTGGAAATTTCGTCCAACTTGAGATGTAGCGCGTAATCTTCTCAAGATAGTGTTAACCAGAATGATGCCAAAAAAAGTGGAACACCACGTTATATATATTATGTAAACAAATATCCGTTTAAAACATCTTAGCGCATTTGTAAATTATTTTTCTAGATTTCGTCAATGCAAGCTCTCGTTGTAATCTCATTTGTAATCAAATTTCTCTCACGTTATCTCGATTGTATATTAATCAGTGATATAAACGCAAATTTAGCTTTAAGTATTTAGCAACAATCCCTGACGGTAGAAAACTGATAATTCGGATAGTGATGCAGAAAGATATACTCAACAAGTACGTGAATAATAATATATAAAACACGTAAAATTTATATATATATATATGTATGGATCTGCAAGTGTGTATGTGTAGCTAGGCTGCAGCGAACGTTTCATAGGTATAATCTAACTACCTAGAATCTTCAAAGGAGAGATTTCTCAGAAGATAGATTAACATACGTATTATTTTATTTTTTACGTTAAGATGTTAAAAATTCAACTTAGGGTGCTGAGTGCCTCGTGAAGAGCTTGTTGTTGATCTGTCGTTAACTGCATTATGGTTGCCTGGAATATAGTCTCGTTGTTCTAGAAAAATACAATTAAATTATTAGTCGTCTTATTCGAAAACTGTAAAATGTATAATGACTATAAATATGCACCTATAAATGTGTATAACTATAAATAATAAATGTACATAACTATAAATATTGTCAGTTTACCTGTATTTCTCTAACAATACTAAGGATTCTGGACATGACGGGATGATCGCTAGGCACAGCATCTCTGAACAGTGCTTCGGCAAAGAAACTTATAAGTCGCGGCAAATGCGAATTATTTGTTCCTAAGACTACTGCGTGATGCGCTTCTATCAAGTCACACAGGTATCCGTATACGTGTGGTGCTTCGTCTTCATCTTCGACAACTGGCAGCCAAGACAGCCTGTACAACCAAAGTTGTACCAAGGTTTACATTTACGCAGCTCAGTGAATATTACGTGTGTGTGAAATACGGAAGCTCACCAGAGTGGAAGAATTTCATCGACATTGATCGCCTTGTTATTATATTTAAGAATTTTAGTTACCGCCGAGATAGCGTTTTCTGTAGGGTTTACATTCTCTGACGACCTAGACTCTGGATCGTTAATAACCTCTATCAACTTCGGCAAAGCTTCCGCGCACGCCTGAGCGAAGCTTTCTCCGCCAAATTGGCCTAAAACTCCACAACCATAAGCAGCTGCCTGTCGAACCTCGGAAGACTTGTCAGAAACGTATTGGATCATAGGTTGCAAGAAGAATTCTTGATATTTCGCGCACTCAGGTCCTCCGAATTCTATTACATCGTCAAATACACACAAGGCCCATTGGTGATCTGACCACGATCTCTCGGGAATCAGTAACTTAACGAAGTGTCCACATATTTGATCGAAGTATGGGAAGAATGAGGACTTGTAGGTCGAGAACAGGGCGTGTAAAATATCAGCGATTTTGCTGAGGGTATATACATCCTCATTGTCTTCGTCAACGAGCTGTTCCTCAACGACCTGTACATAATATATGCATCACACACTAAGTGTATGTATGTGTGTGTGTGTGTATAATAAAATATACATTTAAAAGAAAATCCACAAATATATTATGGAATCTTGCAGTACCTCATCATAATCCTCATCCTTTCGTTTCTCCAGCCTAGCGACTGCCTTTTCGAAATGTTCGTTAAGTAATTTATCTAAAATCCGTAGGAGTTCAGTCATATGTGGGGCACTCAAGCAACCTGCACCTAGTGTCTCGATACATTTTGCGAAAGAGTACAGCAGTTCCATCAACACATCGGACTCTGGTTCTGTATCGATGGCTTTCAAAAGATCCGGGCAAATGTACGCCCACATGCCTTCTACGTATTGCGAGCCTGGAAAAAATTGTATCTGTCAAACATACAATTCCGACTTTTCGTAACACAGCCAGAAAACAGGGAAAGACTATTTTCCAGCGGCGATAAAACTTTTATGGTAACCTTTTATTTTAGCACAGTCGAGAAGATACGGTAGACTTGCGGCAGCTGCAGTCCTGACACCGTCGTGGAAGTAAAACTTTAACATCGGCACCATCAATCGTACCACCTCTTCGGCATAACCAGCGAAACCTTCCTTCAGTTCGCGCGCGTAACAAACCAACATTTCACATGCGGAAGCCTTGTCCTCCAAGCCGGCAGTTTTAATTCCAAAGTTTTGTTGCTCCCCTAATGAGACGAACTGCCAGTCGACGTCACCTTCGATAGTTTCCAAATCTTCGTTGTCCAACAATGCTACCTCAGGTTTCATGGCAGCCGTTCGTAAAACCGGCCCCATTACTAATGGCAAATATTGTTCGAATTGCTTCCCTGTAAAGAAACATACGTACGAACATTGTAATAGATTGTATATACACACACTCATTTATAAGTGTAGTACGCGGAGAGCTTGCAGTATCTTTTTAGAGCTACATGCACACGTCCGATATCTTACCAAGTATTTTGCAAATTCGAGCCCAAGCGGATATGAGATAACTGGTTTGTGGATCATCGTCCGGTAGATTACCTTCTGTGTGTGTCTTGAGTAACATATCCATGACTTCGCTGGCATCTGAAATAAACTGCGAAGATCGAATGAAACGACCGATTAGTGTAAGCTTTTCTCGCCGTTCTGGAGAATCAGAATAAGAAATCGGAGCGATTAATCACCTTTTCTGAGCCAACAGCAAGACCTATCAAACTAACACATTCGATAGTCTTGCCACGTAGCATTTTGTGTTCAGGTTGGTTCGCATTTTGAATGATGTATTTCAAACAAGGCATCAGTCTGTCATAATAGGTTACAAACTGTTCTTCGCAAGTATCAGCAACAGAAGCGATCGTTGTGACAACCTACCACAAAGCAGCAAGGGATTTGCATTTATCGCGTTTACGTTTCGTCAAAATGCGCCGTTCATTTATTTTACGATTTATCCTCACAATCGAGTCGCTTACCTGTTCAAGCACAAGTTTGTTTCCCTTTTGAACTAATTCGTGGAATTTATTGGTTAGTATAGATCCGAGTTTAGCCATTATGGCATCGAGATACGGCGTTAGGATATTTTTCGGACAATCCTCACTGAAGTTCACCAGAGCGGCACCGGCGTGCGCTTGAACTCGAGGATTCGCGTTGTCGTCCAACACCATCAATAAGCCGGGAATAACCTTGTCGTGGAATTTCTTTTCAAATGTAGGCGAAAAATCTGTGGACATCTGTCCTACTGCGTTGCAGGCGGCGTATCTTACACGGGGGTGCTGAAAAGCAACATTTCACTTTACGTTTCTTCGACTTTCGCTATTACGTCAAAATAGTAATCAAACGAAAATTTTGTATGTTCCAAAACTATGATTGTTTAACTGTAAACAATCAACTCTCAGGAACCACGAAGGATAGATCTCGGCGTCTGCAATTGCCAAAACGGCAATGCAGCAAGAATCTGTATCCTTTGCTTAATTTACCACAAATGTAACGCTATCATATTCATATATTAAATGTGACTGCTGACTCGATTTGTGGATTAACTCGATAAATTACTCAATATATGATCTAATACGATATATGACGATGAAAAGTGGAAAATTTTGAAGCTTACGGGATCCTGCAGATATTGTATGACACCCTCCATGATTTGTGGTAAAAGACTTTCCATTTGTTTATGGCATCCTTCACCAATAGCTGAAATAGCCATGAGTGCTGCATGTCTATAAATAATGAAAAAAATGCGTGTTTTATTTTTTTTCTTTTGTGGATTCCATGTAATTTATACACCCAACAAATGCTACGTAACATCATGATAAAAATTAAATTTCGCTGTATTTAATGTCGAAAAAGCTGTGTGTTTCAAAACTATGGCAATCATATGTAATAACTGCCAAATTTTAGTTTAAACCCCCAACGAGAATCTCAAATACCAACTGCCAAAACGACAGTTGGAATAGAGTATCATCACGTTGGTTACTCTGTCACAGATGTAACGCAATTACGTGCACAAGAGTACGTAGCTGCTGACTTTTCTGTGACGTTTCATAAGTTGTGACCTTTATGATAGACAACATATTGATAGGCACTTAACTAAAAATGTTAAGTGTTGGATATATTAGGTCTACAGGGAAGTTCTATCCGATAGCTAAGCACTACTTGAGTTTTTCTCGCCTTCAAAGATGAGTCATTCTACAGAAATGGAATCAACAAATTACCATCACGCTGGGAAAAAATCATTAGCAACGATAGAAATTATATTGTTCGGTAAATATTAATAAATATATTATTTCCTTTTAATTCAAAAACGAACAGAACTTTCCGGTAGACATAATACATCAGTACAATTATGTGGATCATATAATTTATATATATTAAAATATAAAAATGTTACGTAAATTTCACAATATTCACCTGTACTTCCAGTCGCTGTTACTTAACATTGTAGGGATATTCTGCACAATTAGCGGTAGCATCGTTTTACCACCGAGACCGCAGGCCAATCTGTCGAGAGCGCTTTCAGCAACTACATTGTTGCTGTCACTGTCGTCTTCGATAATTTCATCGGAGAAACTCCACTTTTCATCGTCTTCCAAGTCAGTCATCATTTTCAGTACCAACGGCACCAGATTTACTATGTATTTCGCACCAGCTTTGCGTACCATTGCAGGAGCGTTTTCTGACATTGATACCATAACTTCCAATGCCAATTGTCTCCACGAGTCGGACATCTCTTCGTTAGCAACTACGTTCATACATAATTGCATTATATGATCTAATTGCCCCCTGAGAAATTTTGGCGTGGCTTCAGCGAGGTCTATTAACACTTTTAAAAGAGCATCGTCCTCTTGTTTTTCTATAGATTGAGTTGTTACTTGTACGAGTGCAGGAACTAGTTCTGAGAAATGTTTGTGTATATTATCTTCCTTGTCATGTAATATTATAAATGCTCCAATTGCTCGTACTGCTTGAAATCGGACCTGCGTGGCAAGAATAATGACGAGTATTACAATTATCCTTCTTTTAATATCAGGTTTCTCACAATTAAAGGGCAGAAAACTACTATTTCGGATGAGATATACAATTTGCCATGTGAAATGTATGCCCCGTATCTGTCTGTAAATTAACGCTTCACAAGTTACAGTCATCAGAAGGCACCTTTTTCCTTTGTTCTTGGGAAGAATTATGTCAAGCATCTTAACTTGCCGAAACTTGAGTATCTATCTCCCGTTAAACTTAACATGCAAGAGTATATAAAATGTGTTACAAATTTTACCTCATAATTTGTCATATCTAGAACAGCTTGTTGCAACATTTGTTTTATAAGGTCGAGATAATTTGCTTGCTGATTTCCAAATACTCCTGGGACGGATCTGTGTATGTGTGTACGATATTAACTTTCTTTTTTTTCTAATTTCTTAACATATATGTATGCCACTTATATAAAAGTATAAATTCAGGGGGAACTCACGTGAACATACGGAGTGCGCTTTCCTTTAATTCGGGCGATGGACTGTTTGCACATTGAAATAAGAACTGAAGAAACTCCGGCCATTGGTTATTGCCCTCTTCGTCTATCAGATTCCTGGCAACCTCGGCTGCAACCTCGCAGACTTTGCGACGTATGGTTTCTTTCTGTTCATTTTGGACCGACAACAAAATCTGCTCTTTCAGCTGTGCTTGCGCCTCTGATGGGATCTGAATCGGTAGCATATCAAGTCTATTTTTAACTGACCTTTGAGTTAAGTGCATAAATATCTTTCAACTAAGTCTCTGATAAGCTCTTAAGAAATAGACAGATTAAGATTAGCACAAAGCATGTTTCATATATATACATAATGTTGATATGTGAGAATAGAAACTTGGAAGACACCTGTAATAGCTACCTTAGGGAAGAAATCCATGAATTCTGAGGCAAACAGTCGGCGCAGCAGTACAGCGGCCATAGACCGCATTTCGTCCACGAGTGTGCCATTGCAAACAGTACTTAAGAGATATGTCACCTTGCTCTCCAACGGAAGATTATTATACGTCTCCTAATGGTTTCAAAGATCGCAATACTGATTATCTCGATTATCTAGAATTTCTTGAAAATAGAATGAAGGACAAGTAAAAAAGGAAGATAAAAAAAATCCAAGTAGCTAACGACTACTCTTGTTCTTTTTTATCCCCAAGACATTTCTCTTCTCGACGACGACAGCGGTAAATAATCCTTCACCCTCAAGATTTAATCGCGCATTTACAATTCCAAATGGATACAGCATTTATTTCTCGAGCAATTAAACACGATACAAGACTTCTCTCGCGCATTAGACGTAAAAATCTATGAAGACGCGAAACATAAATGAAAGATTATCTAACGATATGAAAAATCACACGTAACGCGTATACGCGTGGAATGCCAGAATCACCAGATCCAAGACTAAATTTATCGTACGGCATCAGACTTATTTAATCGCGGGTATACATATCGCCGGAGCAGGCGTGAATATTTTCTCGACACGTGATCCGGCCGTGCGAAAGTCAAGGTAAACGTGTATACGTGCATGTGCATACGTACACACACGTATGCGCCGGAGTTGTAAAAATAACGGTAAAAAGGAACAAAGCACGGAAGGCGGGTGCCCGAATCACACCCGTCAGACTAGCCGCAGCAACGGGCTAGCACGTGCGGCTCTACGCGATCACCGGAAATCGCGGGGGGCGAGTGTAGGCGGGAAAGCGAGCCGTACATCCCGCCAGGTCGCGTGGGACGCGCGAGCGAACACGCCATCCTCGAGAAGAGACGCAGGTCGCCGAGGACGGTGCTCGTTCGAGGGGAGAGCAGCTCGCCTGACACGAATGCGAGACGCACGCGGAGAGCTGCGGCGTCCACCCGCCCGTCGCGGCAGCCGGACGGTCGAGCTGACGGTCGGCGCGCGCGCGCGCGCTATCCGCGTGCGACACCATTTTGGATTTCCTCGACGAACACTTGTCAGCACGCGGAAATTCGCGGAGCGGGTGGCCGCGCGAATTCGGCCAGGCGGCGAGCGGCGCCTCGGCCGCCGGCCCGCCACCGGATGATCGTGACGCGCGTGAGGCTGCGCTCGCGCGCGTTATCGCGCACGATTAACCCGCAGGCACACGCGGCCGCTGACAACACGTCGGCAACGTGCTCTGCGGAAACGTGCCGCGAATATCCGCACGCTCCGGTGCGCGACCGACGGCCGGCTCTCGGACAATAGATGCCTCCGCGGGCGTTATACGTACCTCCGCTCGCGCACGGACTTCGTTTTCTGAGCTGAGGAGTGTACTTAGGAGCTGTTGGAACTGATCTAGGTCCGCCGCCATTGTCGCCGAACGAATGAAGCGAACACGCTTACTCGACCCTGATCGTCATTTGGAGCCGCCAACGGCGCGTGACGAAATATCGCCCGTGACGGGCGTTGGCAGTACTGCCGGCCGGCCGCGTGGAAACGGGACCTACGGCCGCCATCTAGGTGAATTCGCGCGGCCTCCTAGGGGAAACGAGGAGCGAATCATCGATTGCGAATTTGCGATTGGGAACGTAACTACTTTCTCTCTCTCTCTCTCTATGGAAGTTAAATATATTTTATATATTCAGGAGTTGTTTTAAGTTTATCTCGAGATACTATATGGCTCATTTCATTGGCTACGAAACAACTGAAGATGAACTTAAGATGGACTTAAATGAAGAAGAACTTAAATGTAAGATCCGACTATGGCCGGTATTCAGTCAGATCTTATATTTAAGACCGTCTTAAAGTTTATCTTCAGATGCTCTACGGCTCATTTTGTTGGCTACGAAGTATCTGAAGATAAATTTAAGACGATCTTAAAAATAAAATCCGATTATGAATACCGGCCTATGAATAACGGACACACATGCATAAGGCAGTATTCATAGGCCTTATGGGATATTCGTTGTCGAATCCTATATTTAAGACCGTCTTAAGTTTATCTTCAGATGTTTTGCAGCCAATGAAATGAGCCGTACAGCATCTGAAGATAAACTTAAGACGGGCTTAAATATACATAAGATCCGATTATGAGTATGCGTTCGATTTGGATGCTTACACGTTATAAGCGCTCATAAGCATAGGCTACGTTCAGCGGAGAAAGCAGCTTTGCAACTGTTGTAAAATTCGTGAACCTGACTGGTATACGTTCTTAGATTCAGCCAAGGTTAAGAGCATATACCAATCAGATTCACGAATTTTACAACAGTTGCAAAGCTGCTTTCTTTGCTGAACGCAACCCCTAGCTTACGCCGTTCGTTTTGGAGCCGTAAGCGCTCACAGTGCGGCTTGTGACGTCATTGTTACATTATAATTCACATTCATAAACGCTTATTCTATCAAGGCAGGGCACCAAATGCATAAGCGCTTACAGCGTGTAAGGGTCCAAATCGAATGCTCTAATAGCAATGAGATAGCGTCTGATATGGTAATTGTCACATTAAAAAATGCGGATACTAATTGGCGAAACGTTTAGAGAAACTAATAAGTTCGTTAATTATTTTTTAATTCATTGAGAAATATTTAAAAGTTATTAACTATTTCTGTTAACTTAATTTCTGTTAGTTAATTTTTATTACTTTTTTATTTTATTTTTAATTAATTTTTTTAATTTTAAAATTCTTCATCACTGTAGTATGGAATAATATTTTCTACATAATCTGTAGTCATATAGACATTTTAACGGAATGATTACTCAGCAGTAAAATAATATCTTTTTAATGTTTACTCAGCAGTAAAATAATATCTTTTAAATCCTTATCATAAGAATTTTTATATTCCTCCTCATCGAAAAAGATTTCTAATAATAAAATATCATTTGACAAAATAACATATTTAATATTTATCGTTCGCCATCTTAGCGCTTATAATCACTTGCAATAGCCAAAATAAACGGTATTCCGCAAGCGTTCAGATATCAAATTGAACGACTGAAAACGACGCTTATAAGCGTGAATGAATTCTAAATAAGTTACGTACAGACGTACAAAACGTGAATAAATATTAATATGCAAAAAATTATTAACGAAACATGATATTATGTTACACAATTCCTTTAATTAAATTTTATCATAACCATGATTTATTACCTTGCACAAATAAAACTTCGTACTTCTAATAAAATTAAATCATATAGTACAATCAAGCACGTAATTGTGTATATTGTAATTATATACATATAATTATATATGTAAAGCAAATTTTACATCTCTCCTTTTCTGTCCAGTGCATCCCGCGTTTGCACGAATTTCACTCTCGCTACCAAATTTATCTCTCACCGCTGCAAATTCGTTTGACGTGAGAAACGTCTAACGCTGGAATCGATTAACCGGGGAAATTATTTCTTATTCTTCGGTTTTTTGTCAGCGTCGCGTAATAGACGTGTAATAGTGTTCGTCGGGTTTTCGCAAAATAGCTCTCGGCTATTCTGCTTTCATTTACCGGATGTGCGCGTCAGGGACGGGTAGGGAAAAGACGGCGGAAAAAAGGGCTTGCGCCTGCATTTCGTGATTACGGCGATTCCCGCGCAATTAAAGTCTGTTTAGCCGTGGGTCAGCACGTGGACTGCGTGACGAGACACAGCGCGTCCGACCGCAGTCCGACGTTTTGTGCTTTGTTATCTGCAACGAATGCAATTGGCGCTCGATATTGCTCCATGAAACCCGGGCGCATTTTGAAACTTGCCACTTACAGAAGAGAGCTCCAGGGACGCGTTATCGAACGGTGAAATTTCGAAGTATCGAAACACCGAAGTGAAATTCACGGTTCCTCCTATTCCGAGATTTGTAATAAAGTTGGGAATACTTTTTGTCACGCGGATAGGAAATAGACTGAGTATTAATTCTAGCGCAATTCCACGTCGTTTAGAAACACGATGCAATATCGAAAAATTTCTCTTCGACATTTTTCAATTTACGCGAATCGATCGGACAGTATATACTTACTGTATCACACATACTCTATAAGCGTATCACATATTTATTGTAATACTATTTTAGCGATACAGCATTTTATACATAAACTACTGATATTATCTCTTTCCATCCGCCTCGCCTCGTCCGTACACGATCCTTGTATTAATTTTGATACATCTATTGATAGATAATCGAGAACAATTATTTTCGACGGGAAATGCTTCCGCCTCGGTACAAGCGACATCAGAATTTCCATTCGATATGATTTATTCACGACGATTTAATTGGATATAAAGCGCGTGCCGGAAAAATAACAAATAGTAATAACGAACACCCAGATACAATTATCCAGAGGAACACGGTTATTCAAAAATGTTCATTGAACATCTGTGCCGTATGCGGCGCGCGATATTCCGTGCAAAATGGAACGCTCCTAATTGAGCGTGGATGACGCTGCATTAGTGCTGGTGCTAATGAAAAGTAGACTCGCGCATTATTGCGCCTCAAGGTAGGGAAGCAGATAAGCAAGATCATTTTCTATTCATGTGTTTCCCTGCATTGCATTCACGACGCGGATGATATCGGGTTATATAGCGCAGTGATCGGTAAACATTACATCCTCCGTGCGGAGGGAAACGGTGTTTCTTATTTCTGTCGCAGCACAATATGCCGACAGCAAAGAACCGGGTTGCGAGATCAAAGAGGAATGGCTGATTTAATTGAGACCGTTACAAACCTGGGCCAACCAATTTCGTCGAAAGCGAAAAATTGATTTTTCTCTTTTTTTCAAGATCGCTCGTATCGTATCCACGATAATTGTTATCGCCTGCGTGTAAGTTCGTAAAAGTCGCGATATCTAATCTACAAAATATAGACTCGCGCATATCTCGCGCGCAAAATTGCAAAAAAATGTACACGGTGACGCAAAACAAAAAGATATTGTATATTATCTGTCGTTAGGACAATTCAATTTTTTTCTTTTTTACGAACGTGACGGCCGCTGTGTGACGCGATCAGTTGATTTATCATGAAAAATATTACGAAATTTACATCCGGGCGAGCCGTCATATCGAATATGCACGCTTTTATTCCGCACGCATGCCACGTGCGTATTGCTGTAAAAAATTACGCGGCGAGCATAAAGCCGCGCGAGTCACGATTACGTACGCGCCGTTATCGCAGTTATTTCTCTCGGATAAAACGAAAAAAAAATCATTGAGGAAATATTGAACGATCTAATCAAACGAGATACATACTCGGTGCTATCTCGAACACCATCAAACAGGATTGTTTTATTTTACAGTTGGTCGTTTCATTAATTCGAAGCCTCGATGAAACGCAATTCCGTTGAATTATATATTAGCATATATGCACATATATCTCTTGCGCGTCGGTTACAAATCTTTACAGTTTCCTCTCGATGTGTTTCGAGGTGGACGAGAATCGCGAGGACGAACATATATAACTTTTCTGAAGCTGATCGAATTGAAAAGTGCCGCAACTTTTCTGCCATCGACTATTCACATATGGACGATACGCGATAAATAGGAAAACAATAAATAGGAAAGTTCAACTACGGGGACGGAGCGCGGGTCGACGGAGTCAATTTGAATACGGATTCGCTCGTCCGATGAAAATGTGAAAACAATTTTTCACCCGGTAAGATGAGAGATGAGATTTTTTTAGACCGGATAAAACCGCTCTGTGCGCCGCGCTATCCGGCTTTCGATCTCTCGTTTCCGAATGTTCTACGCGCCGTACCGACGGAACCCGGAATAATTAACTCGAGCGCAAACCCCGCGGACATGCTGTTTCCAATACTCGATTCACACCCGGGACGGGGTCGTCGAGAGGACAATAAGATGTCCTGAGGGATATGTCCTCATCGTCTAATGTGATTTCGGAGTAGGAAGTTCGCTTGCGCTCCGGCATCGTATCCGCCAGCTCGTGTCTGGAGCGGTCCTTTGAATGTCCCCCCGGTGCACTTATGCGCACACGCACGTACGCGACCACGGGCGCAGTCGTCTCGACCTTTGCTAATTAGTGGGCCGTTTGCCTCTTCACAGGGATAAGTGTGTGTTGGCACTAACCCCGTCGCTGGGTATACGCTCCCCTAATTCGCGATAGAGTAAGGTCACCGTGTGCACATTAGGTAAAGAGGAGTCGGCGGGAGGACGGGGGAGAATGGCGGGCGAGGAGGGAAACGTGAGAACAGGGCGCAGGGACCGGAGGGGGATATTGTGACTGCACCGTCGAGACTGTGATCGATCAACCTAATTCGACGAGAATTCCGCCGGTGGCGGAACCGTGTGCGCTCCGAGATTTATTTGTTTCTCGCGAGAACGTAGAACGTGCTGGCTGTGCGACGTATAGAATTTTTTACGGACACATGCGAATAGAAGAGAAGAGAGAAAGAGAGAGAGAGAGAGAGAGAGAGTCCGATGAAAGAATACGCAAAGCGATGGTATTTTACGTGCGAGAGATCACACTCTTGGTAAACCACGTGCTCGCACGGTTACAACGAAGGCGAAGTTTTACCACGAAAGAAAGACACGCTGGAAAATTCTGAAACCGAGGAAATTTATGAAACTTCGGCATTTCAGCTGGAAAATCGAGTCGCGTTCGCGCGCGGCTCGCACGGAGAGCGTATGCGTACACACCATACATATATATATATATATATATATATATATGTGTACATATATACAGTCGTGTCGAATGAACCTGCTAAAAAATACAGAATATTATCAAGTATGATAATGCGCGCAGATTGCGATACATTGTTCATCGGGACGTTTAAAAAATTTATTACATTACGTTGGCTGTTACGTCGGCCGTTGCTCGTCCCCGGAGAAGCGTGATGTGTTTTATGTTTCTGGCGAAAAAACAAAAACAAATGTTAAAAGACAAAAACTGCGGAATAAAGAGAAAGAGAGAGAGAGAGGATGTTACTTTCTCTCGCGAAAGGGAAATTTGAAATTTCATCAAACGACTTAAAGGGTTCGGATTAAAGATTAAAGGGGCCGAGATACGAAGGATATGATTATAGAGGGGGTTGCTCTTGAAGACTATCCACTCACTTGCGACGAGCCACGTCGCACTCCGGCAACCTGAGGGAATGATAGATGAGCGCCAACTATGTCCGCAAAAGCGAGCTACGGCTTTTTGCTGAAATAATCTCAGACAAAGGTTTTCGACGGCGACGGCGGGGCCGCCGTCGCCGTCGTAAAGTATGCGATAATGGCCAGACATGCACGTCGCGATTAATGCATTATTACGCGCTCCACCGATACCGCCCCGTCTTTACCGTCGTCACGCCACCGACCGTTGTCATCGTCCCGTTTGGTTCTAACTATTCGTCGCTCTAAAAGCCGAAGATGAAGTAGCTGCGCGCTTCCAGGAGGTTTTGTCGGCCCTCCCTTAAAACAATTCTTGGCGCTCGCCTAAGAGGATACGAGTTACCTTCATGAATTTCAGAAGAATTGCCGTTTATATAAAACTCCCGGGCGGCAAAGGAAGCGGATAAAGCGTGTGCGTGCGTGTGTGCGTGTGTCTGTTTGAAGTGATATAAAGATGTATTTGCGGGCTCTATTCGGTTCGCGCGCAAACGCGACGCGAACCACCCCTTCCGTACGAATGTATTTCGATTGCGCCGCTGCTCCCTCGATCGAGATTAATGAGAGTGATTCGCCGGTTAATGAGGCGGATGAGGATAGGATAAAATTCGATAAGTTGCGGCGCGTGTAGTTGGCGTTAGCCGTGTGTGTATTTATCGGTTTCCGGGCTCGACCATCTATTTTTGTCCCTCCATACGTTGCGGATCCTCTTCGGTGGATTGCGGTCTAGAATTCTTAGTAGTAGGAACGTACGCGATTCAGTCGGTTCTCGATTGCCCGTAAATCTGCCGGCGCGCGGCAGCCGATGTTTCGGAAAATATTTCCCAGGCCGCTGTCGAAGAAAGCTTCGGAGATGCCGCGTTGCTCGTCTCCCTCAGCGCGTTCCGCAGGCCGTCCTCCAGTCTCGCGTTCGTCCCTTTCAATCTCTCGACGACGCTGCGCAGATCGTTCGTCTTGAGCCTAAAATCGAAGTTCGACTTCCTCGAAGCGACGAGCTCGTCCTTCAAAGCCATCCTTTCCGACCTAAGTCCGTCTAATTCTTCGGCGGACGAGTCGAGTCGCGACCTCAGGCTCGCTCTCTCGTCCCTAAGATTCATCAACTCCGATTTCAAAGCGCGAATCTCCTCCTTCGCCTCAGCGAGATCCCTCCGCATCCTCTCGCTGTCTGTCAGCCCGAAGTCGAGAACACCACGCAGAACATCTACTTCCATCTTCAGCGCTCTATTCTCGACCTCGAGCTGATCGATATCGGACAGCCGAGACCCTTCCTTATCACCCAACATCTTGGAGTCGCCGGAATAACCGGCATAATTACTCATCCGTCGCGCGTAACGGATATTCACGAGTTCGCGTCGTTTCGAAGGGAGGCAGTCGATGACTTCCTCGTCGCCGAGTTCCCCCGAACGTATCGGACTTCCGGACTCGACCTCGGCACACGACGCCAGTTCCATCGCAACATCGGCCTTCTCGGACCCCGAATTCGCCGACTCCAATTTCAAAGCCTTATTCTCGACTCTCGGCCTCTTCGGCCCGGCCTTCGGCTCCTGTTTGATCTTCGCTTTGTTATCAGGGCTCGCACACGTATCAGATTCAGCTTTGAGCGCCGTTTCGTCATCCTTCTGTTCGCCAATTTCGACTTTCATGCCCGTTCGCACGGCATCCGAGCAATCCTGCTTGTGCCGTACCTTGTTATGAGCGTCCGCGAATCGGGCCTTCGCAAGCGGATACCGCGGCGTATCGATTCCCTTCGAGTGACCCTCGCGATCGTTATTCTCGCGGTGTAACGCGGCGGCCGGCGGCGTCGCCGAGCGCTCGTCGGCGGTTCGTCGGATTTTCCGTCGATCGCCGGCCATTTCGCCGCCGATTTCATTAAGTCGTCGCCTGGCCTCGTCCCGCTCGCCCCTCAGCCCCTCGCTCGCCTTACACCCTACGTCGCGGGTGACCCGCGGCAGGCGGTTTTTCGCCCCCGCTTTGTCATTTTCGACTCTTGATTTATTCAATTCCATGGAAAAATATTCATTCTCCGCTTTCGCCTTATTCAACCGATCTCGCAGGCCGGCGTTCTCATCATCGAGCTCGTTAATACGCGTCGCCAGCTCGTTCTTTTCTGCCAACAGCACTCGCACACGGTCGTCCACCTCCGCGCTCCGCGCCGCCCGCAGAAGGTCCAGCTCGCCGGCGAGACTGGAATTGTCCGCGTTGAGTCGCGCCGCTTCGACGGCCGCGTCTTCGAGCGCGGCGCGTGCCCTCTCCAGCTCGAGCCGCAAATCCCCCGCGACGGCTTCGGCCTCGGTCACCTCCCCGCGAAGGCCGTCGCACTCGGACCGAAATCCGTTAACTCGCTCCTGCAACGCGGCGCACTTGTTATCGGCATCGGCCATCGATTCGGCCAGCGATCCTTTCTCGAGCCTCAGCTCCGACAACTCCGCCTCGAGTTGTTCTTTCTCCTCCCGAAGGTGTTCGACTTCGCCCTCGAACGCTTTGTTCGCCCTCTCGTATTCCCTCGCCGCCTGCTCGCCGGCGGACGTCTGGACGTTCAATCGATACGTCAACGACTGCTCGTTAGACTTCAAATCGGAAACTTCAGCCAGCAGCCTCGCCCTGTCACCGAGCGCCTCGGCCAGCGCGCCCTCCAAACGCTCGATCCGGCCGTTCGCCTCGTCCAACCTTATTTTAGACTCATTTGATTCGGCTTTCAGTCGCTCTAATTCGTCCCCGAGGTTTCGCGCGCGGTCCTCCCGCGAGCCCTCGCCATTGTCCCGCCGCCACCGCCGCTGCTCGTCGCTCCTCTCGCTCGCCGAACTTTTCAATTTGTCCTCCGGTCGTTGGCGCTCCCGCCGCTTCCCAAGTCCGCCAATTATACTTTTCAGTTTAACATTTTCGTCGGAGGCGACGCCGAGTTTCGTCTTGAGGTCCTTTACCTCGGCCTCGAGGACTGCTCTCAGCGGGTCCCGCCCGGTAATAATATTCGCAATTTCTTTGTCTCGCTCGCGGAGGATATTGCGCGCCCTCTCCGTCTCCCCTAATAGCGCCTCTTTGTCATCGCGGAGCTCCCGCAATTTTTTCCTCAACGCGTCAATTTCGACCGTCGTCAGCCGCATCTCGGCGTGCACGCGCGACAGCTCCGATATCTCTCGCTCGCGCTCGTCCGCGCGAAGACGCTCGTTCTCGCGATGCGCCTCGGCGACGATCCTCTCGTACTTACCGCGCTCCTCCTCCGACGTTAATTTAACGCTCGCGCACTGGTCGCCGAGCGCGCGAACGCGCTCGTCCTTCTCCGCCAGCTGCAGCCTCATCCGCACGATCGAAGCCTCGAGGCGGCCGATCCGCAAGCTCGCGCGGTCGTCCAAGAGCTCGAGATCCTGCATCTTGCGACACAGTCGCTCGATCCACTCGCCGAGCTCCCGCATCGGCCTCTCCGCGATCACCGTCGCCGACTTCCTCACCATGTCCTCGAGCTCCGTCACTTTCCTCATGAATCGTGCGCCGCTGACGCCACCGATCCTGCAGTACCTGTCCATCGGTGTCACCCTCAGCTTGCCGATCTCGGTGTCGATCTTCGCCAAGAAGCCGCTCAGCAGAGAAGCCGTCGCGTGCCTCTCCTTCCCGAAGGGCCGCATCGACGAATCCGATCGCCTGAGTCCCACGGCCAACATTCTCAGGCTTATCTTCAGATCGACCACCTTCTTCATGTACCTCAAGCGATCCGGATCGCCGGCGGCGATCATCGCCTCGCGCTCGCTCTTCAGATTGTTCCTCAAGTCGTCCATCAGCCGTCCGACGTGCGCGACCACGTCGGGGATGTCCGCGGCGTTCGAGCTGCCGTCGCAGTTCTCGCGAATCATCTTCAACCGAGCCATCCCCGCCACCAGTTGCTCCGCGAGCTTCTTCAATTCGCCGATCCTCCTCCGATATTCCGCGCTATTGCCGCTCCGCGAGCGCAGCATAGCCCTCAGGCGGCCCAGTTTGCGATGCAGATTCTTGTTTTTCCTCCTGAATCGGCAGAGGTCCTCGTGGACGTTCACGAGCTCCTCCGACAGGCTGACGATCGTCTCGACGACCCTGCCCACCGTATTCTTGATCATCGCCTCGAACGCGCGATCGCCTATCTTGAACTCCTCCAGCCTGTCGCCGAGTCGCCTCAGAATCAACCGCGTTTCTTCGGTCTCCTCTTCCTTCGACCGCTGCTGCCACTTCCGGCACGGAATCTCATTCGAACGTCGTTCCCCTTTCTTCTCGTCGGGAGACTCGGCCCCGATCACTTCATCCCCGGCTTCGTGGCCGGTGATACACGCGTTATCCACCTCAGCTTGCGTGAGAACGCGCCTCAGACTCGCCACTTCGTTCCCCAAAGCGTCGTTCGCCTCCTCCAACCGGCTAATCTCCGCCCTCTGATGCGCGATCAAAGGGTCGGTCTCCTGGTTATCGTCTCCATTCTTGTCATCCGCACGAAGGACCATTTTCATCCGCCAGATATTACTCTTCAGTCTCACGCTGCCGTCCCGCCAGTTCTTCATCTGCTGCATCACGTTGTGCAGCTTGCGCAGGGTCGCCGCCGCCATCTCGGCGACTCTGGCCTTCTCCTCGACGGCGACATCAATCGCCATCACCGGTAGGTAATCGTCCAGGTATCGCTCGCTCATTTTGCTACTTCCTCAATTTTCCCAGCCAGGTGGTGAATCTATGAATTACGACGAATGTGTGGCGGATACGCGCGGTCCGGAGGAACACGCATGACGGAACGAAAGTAACGCACGATGCGCTATCTTCGTTACATCATCTGCGTCTCATCTCGCTTTCTTAATTCGACGATTATATAAATATTGAGATATGATGTTGGAGATATGACGTTGCGGCACGAGCGGGCGGTAAGCACGGTAATGAAATTAACGCCAAACATCGATATCTGACCAATGCGAAAAGTTAACTTCCTGCGCGCACGCGAGAAGGGACGGCGAATTTTTAATATATCCATTAAATTATTCATCAAGTCTCCGGTGTGTGAAGAGTGTTTTTTTTTTATAGAAATTTTCATTCGAGCTCTTATTAATTAATTTCCGCGAATATCCCGTTGCGGTTAGCGTTGTGCATTGTTTCATAAATATATAATATCGATGTCGATGGACGTTACACGTAAATATTCATTAGCGGTTTTTATTAAAACGTACGTGTGTCATGGTAACAACCGCGGGGCGGCTCCGGGCGAAATTTTCACGTTTCTTCTGCGTGTGTGTGTTACTTGATAATTTTTGCGCGCATATTGTGCCGAAACATCCACGAAGGGGGCACGAATGCGCGTCTGTGGGCGAGCAATCGATTTTCGCGCACGCGCGTGCGGCGCGGCTGCGAAGGTAAAGAGATACCTTCAAGTGTAGTGCGCGCTCCTCCTGAACTTTTCAACGCGTTAACACGCGCGTTCGTACAAGTTTGTATATTTATTATATACCTCCCCCACCCCCCTCCCAACCGTCCGAGAACGAGCACGCTTGTTTCGTTACGCCGATTCGATTAATGAAACGCTGATTTTGCGCGGAGCAATGCGGCGAACGCCGGGGCAAAAAGGGGCGCAAAGTTCCCCGGCGAAGTTCCCGCGGAGCCCCGCGCGCGCCTGCCGTGTTTTCCTCCTTCCTTTGCAATTACCGCGCAGATTTAATTGATGACGGGCCCTCCGTTCCCCCCGCCCCCGCCCCTCGATAAGTTCTTGAACGGAACCGAACCGTGGTCCAAGTGCTCTCGAAACTCTCGAAACTTAAGAAGCGTTCAGTATCGCTGCGCCGCCGCGGCTCCTCAATATCAGAACACCTAATAAGACTGTTCTAACGAGGACTCGCCGAGAGCATACTGCGCGCGATTCAATTATAGCGACCGCTTAATTATGTGGGTCGTACGTAACCGGCACTTCCGGTTTCTCGGGGCGCGCGCGCGCGCGCGAACTTCGTGAGGGGAAAGTTGGTGAATAATGCGCGTGTCCTAATGTCTCCATCTCCTCGAGGCTGCCATAAGCCGCCGCCGTCGCAGTCGCTGATGATAGTCTCTCGGATTTCCCACAAATATAATCGCAATTATTAATATATATATATATATATATATATATATACGTCAACTTAGATGTCCTCGGTACGCACGTGAAGGATGTCGCTCTGTTATTAACGCGGCGTCGGGCGTGCATACCGTTCGAGCTCACATCGTTCTTCTCCGAGAGAGAATAAACCGTTCGGCTCGACATTAATAATTCGAGTTATCGACCCCCCCCCCCTGCCTATATTCCNAATAAACCGTTCGGCTCGACATTAATAATTCGAGTTATCGACCCCCCCCCCTGCCTATATTCCCTCCTGCCGTATTAAAATCGTCGGAATAAATTTTGACCGAGCGCGAAGATATGACTAACGTCTCGCGCCTCGAGCTTCCGTTTAACCTCTCGGCATTTCGCGTCCGATATTTCAGTGGAGGGCGAGGTTTTTTGCTTAAAGAACGCCAAAAATACAGAGCCAGCAGAGTCGCTTGTCGCACCGTTATACACCGAATCACAACCTGAATCCATAAATTATCTGTTTTCCGATCCGGTAATATTGAGGGAAGCGCGAGACGGTGCGCCTGCTAGACCGAGCAACCTCAAAATTTTCTATGCGACTCCGTGCGTCTGTGTGTGTATGCGCGAAGACCGGCGGGACGTGGACGCTTCGGGAATAAATCGGCGTCATGCAAGCGCACTGACGAGATTGTGAGAGAGCGGGTCCTCGAAATTGCGGCAGGTCATGGAAGATCGATACGCGCCGCCGTTTTGCCCGTGCGGATGCCACGCATCGTCGCCGGCGAAGAAACCGGTCGAACCGCCGTGCGAGCCGTGCTGTTGCTGTCATTACAATCCCTTTAACGACAACGCGAAGGAATGGGCGTTGTACGATCTCCCGTTCGCCCTGCGAAAACTGACGGTAATGAAGTGCCAGATGAAGAAGTGGCGCATGGAGCGGCTCCAGCTCGAGAGCGAAAATAGGTCTCTGAAACAAGCCCTACAATCTTTCGGTATCTTTCGATGATCCACTTCATAGCCGAATTTCCCCCGCTCCTTATTACTTCTTCACCGCCGTTTCTTGCCTGACTCGCGAGCCACGCGAGAGCCGTAACGCCGTGTCGCACTGCTTTTCTTTCTCTTTCTTTTGCTTTCGGCGCGTCCTAGTTGCAGGGTGGTGCTGCGTGAGAAAGCATGGCGGAGATGATTCGTCCTAAATCGTGGATATTTTGATTCCTGCTTAATGGACTATGTAAGACAATCTAGAATAAAGACGTTTCTTTAATGTGTGTGATATTTCTTTTTACGATTTTTTTATTATATACACATGGAAAAGATTAGTCTCGAAATAATCAATCGACCCGCTTAGCTTAACTAAATAAAACATTTATGCACGAAGAAATAGTCTTAAATCAGTAATGGATATTTTCATATATAAGTAAGAATATTAGAAACTTTTAATATTATTCAATTCAAAATTAAATATCTTCTTATAACATTATAATATTCTCGAGCTTACATACGAGAATATCTATCATTGATTTAAGACTAATTTTTTTCTCCCTAAATGTTTTATTTTCAGTTAAGCTAAGTGGGTCGATCGATACCGTCGTTATTGAAAAAAATTCCAATATTCTTCATTTTCAATTTTGCATCGGTTCTCAATTTTGCATTTACACCGGTATACGCGGTATCGCGGCAGACTTGCGTTTTCGTTTTAACATGAGAGGAAAAATGATTAAGATACAAGGACGTTCGATGATTTCGGCGGAATACTTCAGACGTATCAAATGATTTGTACGTAGGCGCGAAGCCTAACGAGATATTGGCGCCCGATCCCTTGCACGTGCACTACCGCGAGGAAAATGAGAGGCTGCAGAATGCAAATGAGGAACTGGCGGAAAAAGTTCGCGACCTCGAGGAGACCCTCGCCGAACGAGATTGCTGCGACGATCCATGCGAGGAAGTTAAATACGCGAGGGAGAAAAAAGCGGCGCTGAGAGAACGTTTCGCCGCCGAGAAGAAACAGTAAGCGCGCAGTGTCGATTGATTTCGCGCCGAGACGTCTCTCCGCGTGTCGATTCAATCGAAGGGGAAACGCTGAGGCGGTAATCCCGTCCCGAAAGGGAGAGAACGCTAAATCGCGGTACAATTAATATCGAATTAATCATAAAAAAAAAAATTGCTCCCGGACCGAGAGCTTTCCGTTTGCTACGTTTCGCGAAGTTATATACATCTTCGCACAAGAACATTAATCACAGTTCGCTCTCGATATTCTTCGGCAACCATCCATCTTCATTAAGCCGGGCCACGTCAATGTAATTACACGCAAAATGTTGATCTCTCACGACAGAATGCGAGACGAGATATCGTGTCTGAGGTTGAAACTGGCGGAAGCCGAAGAGGATACTTCCTGCGCTGCATTAAACCGTTTGAGGGCGAAGCTTCGTGAGTTAATGAAAGATGGTCAGAAGGCCGATCAACAGGTGCCGGTCTCAAAGAGCCGCGAGGATCTAGTGAACTGTCTCGTCTGCTCTCGTGAGCGCTAACGCCGTGCTAACGCGAATTCGTCATCCGTTGAAGGCCGCGCTGGACGAGGAGGAGCTCGACAGGTCGGCGTTGCTGAATCGGCTTCGGCGCTGTAAAGAGCTCGTGGCTGAACTGACGGCGCAATTGAAGGAGAAAACGGCTCATGCGGAGGCTCTGCAGAACGAATTGGAGGAGCGGAAACGCTGCGTTCCCGAATCGGAGGTAGGCTTGGATCGAACGACCGTCAGCTATGAGGCTTCCCGATGATACGGCATCACGCTTTACTTCTCCGTTTTCGTGGTTGCTTGCAGTTAGCCGCGCAAGCGAAGTGTCACGAAGAACGCACGGAAGAAAGAATTAGCTTTCACAGTTAAGAGCTAGCTGTCCGTATAATACAACTGAAATTTAATTACCAGACCTAGTTTTTAGCCGTGAAAGTTAATTCTTACACTGAAAGAAAAAAGTGCTTTATTTAAATAAATATTCGCCAAAGTCTATTGGAGTAATTGTTTTGCTTGAATTACTTGAATTAAGTGAATATTACTCGAGAAAGCATTTTTATCTTTCAGTGTGCTGCATTCAACTAATATTTACTTAATCCTCAAGTAAAGTTACTTCAATAATCTTTAGCGAATATTTAATTGAATGTAGCAATATTCTCATTCAGTATATAACGATAGTCGTACACACAGCTGTGACTACAGTCGTACACGGCGAGAAAGGATGAATTCCCACAGCTGGAAACCAGTTCGGGCAATTAAATTTCAACTGTATCACATGGATAACTAGTTTTTAGCTGTGGAGGCTAACTTTCCTTTTTTCTTTTCTTCCACGTGTGTTCCACTCGACGAGATTCGCTCGTGGACTCTCGTTTCGTCGGATGATCGGACGAGCACGTGGAAAAACGCGTTCATGCGCCGCGAGTGACGGTATTCGCAGGTGATATTCGCGCGTGTTTGCTCGCAGATTACGGAGCTGGAGAAGATGCGGGACGTGATGTCCGAGAGGAACGATCAGATCGTCACTTTGTTGGAACAAAAGGAGAGAGCCGAGCACGAATACGCCGAGAAATTGGCAGTCGTGCAGGCTAAGCTCGAAGCTTTCGCCGCGCAGGATACGATCCTGAGGAACGAGGCGGAGCAGCTGAAGACGCGCGCGGAGCGGTCGGAGCGGCAGCTCGCCGAGAGCGGAGACCGAATAGCCGAGCTCGAGAAGCGGTGCGCCGACTACGAGGAATTATCGAGCAGAATACAAGACCTGCAGAAGAATTCGGTGGCGCTTAAGGCCGCGCTCGCAGAGGCGAATGACAGTCTGCAGGCCCGGAATACCGAAATAGACACTCTGAGCGGCGAGAAGGCGAAATGTTGGAAAGAGCTGAACGCCGCGCACGCGACGATCGAGAAACTCGGGGGCGAGTTGGCCGATGCGCGGAACAATCTCGGGGACTGCGAGACGAAATCGGGCAAACTGCTAAGTGACAATGCGAAGCTTCGCGACGCAATGGACGAGCTGCAGCTTGAGAACGACGAATTAAGAGACACGGTCGCAGATCTCGAGTCGAAGCTGAAGAGCTCGGAGGAACGGAACGAGAGATTGGTGTCGAAGAACGCGCGCGCAGCTTCGGATTACGCGGCCCTGTCCGCAGAATTGGACGGATTGCACGAAGACGAGCGGAGGATGATCGAAGAGCTGGCCGAATTGGACCGCAGCAGAGGTGAAAACAACGCTCTGCGAGAGGAGGTGGACAAGTTGCGGCGCGAAATCGCAGCCTTGGAGGAAGGTCTCGAGACAACGGTGTCCGAGCGTGACCAGTTGAGAGCTGAAAATGCGTCATTAGACGAGCGAGCTCGAAAAACACGGCAGGAACTGTTAAGGACAGAAGAGGGAAATAACGAGTTGAGGAAAGAGATCGATAAGCTGAACGTTGAACTGCGTCTCTCGGAAGGAAAATCTCAAGCGGCGCAAAAAGATCTGGGCGGTGCGAGAGACGATTTGCATAGTCTCCAGGCTGAGAATGAATTCTTGAAGAAGGCATTGGAAAATGCTAAAACGGAAGCTAACAAACTTAAAGAAGAAAATGTTGCCTTGAAAAACAATCTTGATAACATGATTAAGGAATTGAAGTCTGCGAAGGACGAGTATAATGACGTTAAAGCAAAGGGGGATGATTTATTATCTGAAAACGGTTACTTAAGGAAGGAATTGCAGAAGCGAACGGAGGAGACGGATCGGTTAAAGCGCGAAGCGGCGGCATTAAAGAATGATCTTGATAGACTGTTAGGAGAGACGGGGAGGATGAAGGACGAAAGTGCTGCTGTTACGAGTGCTCTTAAAGACGATTTGTCTAGGACAAATGTAGCGTTAGATGACGCGACGGTACAATTGGAAAAGTTTCAAGCGGAGAACAGAGTCCTTACGGAGGAATTGGGGAAGGCTAATGTAAATAATAGCAAATTATCCGCGGACTTCGATGCTCTGCAAAGCGAAATGGCGAAGTTGAAATCGGAGAACGGCAAATTGCTACGAGAGGCGGCTGATGGGCAAGAAGAAGTAACGAAATTATCGCTCGAAATGGGATCGCTGAAGGAAGAAATAAATAATATGAGGCAGGACCTGGCGAGGGCAAATAACGAAGTTGCAGATTCGCGGAAAGAAATAACCGGGTTAAATAATGAACTGAAGGAGGCGAGAGTTACGAACGAAGGGCTGAGGGAGGACATTCACCGTGCGGAAGTAGAACGCGAGACTGTCAGAATGGAAACGGATGGTCGCAGAGACGAGAATGATAGGCTAAGAGCAGAGATGAACGAATTGAAGAAACAGATGGACTTATCGGCCGACGAGGCGAACAAATTGAGAGTGCAACTCGGGGACGCCGAGAACCGGGTTAAGTTTCTCGAGCCTCAGCTGACTAATTTGGAGAGTGACAGGCGCAAACTGCAGAACGAGATCGAGAAATTGAAACCGGATCTAAGCGCGGAGACCGCCGCCAAACGAGACATTCAGGAAGAATTAGCGGCGCTGAAGAGCGAGATGAAGAATCTGATCTTGAAGATCGATGAGCTGAAGGCGCAGAATCATAACCTGAAGGAAGAGAGGCACGCCCTCAAGGGTGAATTGTCGTTGCAGAGCGAGCAATCGTCAAGCCTGAGAGCCACGAATGCCGAGATGAGGAGCGAGATCGACGACCTGAGCCGGACTGTTTCCGACCTGCGATCGCGAGTGCCTAAACTGGAGGAGAATATCGAGTATTGGAAGATGGAAAACTGCAAACTCCAAATAGAAGTGGATAAGTCACACGCCGAGAATGAGAAGACGAAGGAGAACTTAAGCAGCTGCCAGGTAGAGAGATAATTAGTTGCATAGATCCTGCTCCGCGCGTAACTCTGTCTCCGATAATGATCTCCTCGAAATTCCGTAGGTCGAGCGAAAGGCGTTAGGGAAGGAGATAGCTGATCTTAAAAACGAGAAGATTAAGCTGGAGGGAGAACTCGCGGAGCTCAAAAATCAGGCGAAAGGACTTGAGCGGACCTCGCTCGCCGAAAAGTCCGCGAAAGATGAGATGGCGTTGAAATTGGAGAGGATCAACGACGAGGTCGTTAAATCGAGGGAGGAAGTTGGAGCGTTAAAGGATGAATTGATGAAATTAAGAGCGGCGAACGACAGGATGAGAAGCAAAGAGGACGGTTTGTCGCGTGAAATATCAACGTCGAAGAAGGAGCTCGAGGGCCTGAAGGGTGAGATATCGGCTGTGAGAGCGGACAATGACAAGCTGAAGTCGGAAATAAGCATGTTAGCCCGAGAGAATGACAAATTGAGGGGCGATTCGGGCGAAATGACGTCCGAAATTGCCGGATTAAAATTGGAGAATGCGAGTTTGAAAGAAGACCGACGGAAATTCGAGAAGGAGGTGGACCGGCTGAGGGGCGAAGGCGACGGGCAGAGAGTCGAAATCAAAAGTCTCAAGTCCGGTCTGACTGCTGCGCAGGCATTATCGGAGGAAACTCGATCGGAATTATCCGCTTGCCTATCCGAGAACGACAAATTGAAAGCGGACTCGACGAAGCTGCGGGAAAATTTTCATGCGCTTAAACTAGCGAATGACGAGCTGAACAAGGCATCGATCGACGCGGGGAACACGGTGAACAGGCTGCGAGACCAGGCGGCCGCGTTGCTGGATGAGAAGGAAGCGCTTCTGAACGAGTTATACGGTTTACGAGCGGAAGTGAGTGGGTTTGGTAAAGAAGTTGCGTCGGGCGAAGCCGCGAGGAAGGCTGCCGAGAGGCAGGCGGACGTCCTAAGCGGCGAATTAAAGGCGCTGAAGGCGGAGCTGGATGAGACGCGTGCGGTAAACGAAACTTCCAAGAGGAAGCTGAACGACGCGAGTGAACGCCTCGTCGCGTTGAAGAGCGAACGCGACAGAATGACGACGGATCTCGATACGTCCAGGAATGAGAACGGCGCGCTGCGGGGAGAGATCGACGAGTTGAAGAGGACACGCGAGGATGCTGAAACGAAGATCAAGTCCCTGGAGAAACAGCTCGGCGGTCTGGCGGATGAGAAGGAGAAGCTCGAGAAAGAGAGGGGCGAATTGAAAGCTCAGGTTCAAGCCGTCGAGCTGGCGAGGGATGACGTACGGGCGCGACTCGATAGCGCGACCGAAGCTCTGCACGCGGAGAAAACAGGCAGGAACGCCGCTCTCGCGGAGTTGGAAGCCTTGAAGAAGACCGTGGCTCATTTGCGAGACGATTTAGCCGCGTGCCGAGCGGACAACGAACGGCTAACGGGCGAGTTGGCCGTCTCGGAGGATTTAACGTTGCAGTTGCGGGAGGATCTGCAGAGTGTCGTGGCCGAGAATGATCTACGGAAGAACGAGATTGTTCGGCTGAAATCGGAGAGCGATAAGTTGAGCGAAGAACGCGACAGGATGAGGGACGAATTGGACAGGTGGAAAGACGATCAGAAAAGATTAAAAGTGACGACTGGTAAGGAGCGGTTTTTCGAAAGTAACGCCTTAAGAACTAGAAGCGCAGAGCGCCGCGCTCCGAATTGGATCGCTGCCTCGGCGGGAGAAAAGCCGAGCTCTGAAACAACTCGGCGAATTGCAGATCGGAGGCAAACCGTCGACATCCGTTCCTCTCGTCGCCGGCTTTTCTCCAGCTTTCCTTCGATTTGTATAGAATTTATCCGGCGCGCGTTTATGAGCGTTGACATACATTCGTTATTTCTGTCGCGCGGCTGCTCGAAACTACGAGACTAACCGTGTGAAATGCGTTTCATTCGGTGCGCTATTTTTCGCGAGAACCTCTTTTGCTGCAATTGAACTCGATTCGTTCCACGTTCGCGCTAAAGAAGGAACGTCTTTGTAATTCCAGAGGACGTTGCGCTAGAAGCGGATGAATGCAGCGACTATGTTAAGGCGAATGAATTACTGAGGAAACAGATTGAAAAGCAATATGACGGTAAAGTTTGCGCTAAAATCCCCTCGGCTGTTTCGCCGCCAATTTTTCGTAATGCCGCGCGGATACATGGAGAATGTGCTTATTCGTAACTTCTAACTAAACCAGTTAATGCCTTAATGAATTAAATATTCGGATAAATCAATCCGCAGATAACGGATATTAAATTTACCTCTGGAGTATAATAGGAATCCGGGGATGTGTAACATAAATATTTCATCTGATTGAATCGTACCGCAAAGATGGGTTATACAACATCGACGAAACGCATACGAATCGAGAAATATCAAAGGAAATTGATTTATCATTTTTTATTGTTCTCGAGTATAAAGAAATTCACTATTTTTATTTTTAGAGAAAACAGAAATTTCCAATATCGAAGACTAATCTCTTTCTATCATTGTCGAGTAAAGGTCGCCGTCAAATTTGTTATTTGTATCGTCGCTATTCCTTACAACATCCGGAAAAGTAGCTCGTGTCTCATTTCCAAATCGTATTTTTACGTACAAGTCGTATTGTATGTTCCGTGATACAGCCGTGCAACGTATACGCGATTACATATGCTTTGTGGACGGCGAAACATCGACGAAACCCGCAATGCCGATAACGTTGGACGACGAGCTCGGCGAAATCGAGCGGTGGACAGTTCCGTCTATCGTGGAATTATTAAAAGAATCGCGCAGACTGTCCGGGTGTATCTACTCGGCGGAAACGGATGTACGTCGCATCGACAAACTGCTGCAGCTGCTCGACGAGTGCAGAACGGACAAGGAAAAATACGCTAAGCACTTATCGGTGAGATCATAACGCAGGCGAGCGTATCGTACGGTCTAACGTCGGCACGCTTTGTTTGACGATTTATCAAAAGAAGGATAATGCGAAATTTCCGAGTCGCGCGCTAACAGCGGGAATGAATCGTTTGCAGAGGCTCGGCGTAGATGTTACCGAAATTGCGGATAATGGCGATGAGCTTGCAGCTTTTGATCCTGAATTTTGGCTGAAGGTATGCGCGACGACGATGGTTTCGTTCGATACGAGACATCGTATACTTGTATTTATCGAATCTACCGCCGATTTCACCGGTTCGCGAGTTGTCACGGGGACAAACGCGAGAGCGCGGATTCTCGCGACGATTTTCTCTGACGATACGTGATAAAAACAAAGTAGTGTCGCGTATCTTGCAGTCTCTGACGCTCACGCAACTGGCCGAGCTACACGACAAGATCTGTCTGTTGACTTCGAGTATGGTGCAAGAGGACGACGCTCCTGCGGCCCACGATCGACCGACGATTAATTGGGACCACGGCGATCCGTTGAAGGCGGATTACGACGCTTTAAACCGGCGAATCGCCGCCTTGCAGAAGCAAATAGCTGAGAAGCAGATTGAAGCGGGGTGGAAGCTGCGGGAATTAAGACAGGCTCTTCGTCTTGAGCAGGCAAACCTCATTCAAATCTCCGACCGGATGAATCTCGAAAGAAAGCGCAACCTGGCCCTCTATCTCAATATAGACCGTGCGACGTAAAGTCCATTGGATTAAATCATACTTGTTGATATTTTACAGGGCGACAGTCGTCTCCAAAAAATTTGTCATACTGAAAGAAATTCCTCTCCCTTATGCTATTTCTCGTGCAGATTAAGAAGAAGACGTCAACGTTTGAAGAGAGTTCAATCGATATTCAATATATGAAGAGTAATACAAAACGAATTATAATTGTATGTGTGGTTAAAAATAACGAAACTAAATTATGAAACCACGTGAATCTTCGGTCTCTGCGACTTCACGATTAAGGAGGTTGTGAAGCTCAGTGCTGGTATTTTCAGTGGCACATCAAGGAGGCTTCTCATAAATTTAGTGTTTATCAAGCAAAATTATGTTCTTATATATTTATTTTACCATCTAAATAATAATTGTTAATTTAAAATAAAGTTGAGATAAACATATGAATACATAATATTACAAATACGAAAATATAAATATTTTTAATTGTTTTATTAATACTATATTTATGCATCAGTTAATTTAATAGAAAAACATATAATAAAAAAGATATATAAAAGTGTTTAAATATATATATATATATCAGCTTTTGAATGGTCAATTTTTTCTAATTTAAATGGAGGGGGGCCATTGAGAACACGGATCATTTAGTGTCATTAAAATATTTTAAGTTACGAAGTCATTTATCCAGTTGTTGTTACATATGTCGCATTTCATTTGGCCCTCTCTCTTTAAACTTGATTGTACATCAAAGAGCCTTGTTTACTACTATTTTTCTATTCCTAATTGCACAAGCAGTTATATAATACTTCAATATATACGTAGTGCAAATTTCATCGAATCAAATTTATTTCACCTTACAACCTTACCCCTTAAAACAACCGCCAAAACGTTGCAAAAGAAATGAAATATAATATATTCTTCAATTATTGTAATCCACATTATACACATTGCATTGTACATGCGAACATGGCAGTCCACCGCGTTCCCTTCACCCCGGTCATCATTTCAATAACTATAATCATTTCCTAGACACATATAATTGCATAATGCACCATATTCAGCGACGGCGTTTTGTTACTAATCACGATCGAACAATAACAACTAATGAGAGCCGCTTGTTTCGCGGCGCGTGCTCGCACGCCGCCACGTGCGATAACGTGATTTCCCGTTTCATTTCGGAGGTCGCGTTGTTCGATCGAGATTAATTCAATTGTACCGTACCGCATCCGTTCCCGCGACTTTGCCTGGGCTTCCCTCTCTCTCTCTCTCTCTCTCTTCTCTCTGTTCCTCTCATCGATGCGGCTACCGCGGACGCGTGCGCGCGCGCGGCTCAATGGAAAGGTGAACACCGCCGACAAAGAGTAAACATATAATTGAAATGCGCGGGTAGATCAAACGGTAAATGAATTGTCGAAATCCGTTTAGCCGTGTGTCCACCGTGCAGAATTGAAATAAAGTCGTAAAACGCCGATAGCCCAGCTCAGGCCACGCGAGCGATCGGCCGGTCGCATTAACGCGGTACCGACAGCATCGATGGTTGTAAAAGACGTTATCCGGATCTGTTTCCTCTATTTTTTCTTCTCTCCCTTTCTTTCTTTTTCACTCTTCCGCTCTTCTATTTTTTTTTTAATTCTTTTTCGAGACGCACGAACTAACTCTCCGCGTTCGGAGATTGCGACATTTGCGCTGAATCGACTTTGCGTGTTTACAATTTCGTTTCCTGCACATTTTGACGCCTTTTTACGCATTTTTATTATGATTATATATTTGTATATATTTGTATATATTTTTTTATTGAGCTCTATAGCGTACTGGAATGAGCCTTCCCTGTGCTAAACTGTAGAAATCTGTTGCTCGCTGGAGAGAAGAACAGATAAATGATTAGAGGAACATCTATTTCTTTTGTACACACTACTATCTGAACGAAAGACATCGGAAATGTAAGAAATCGAGTTTCGATATTTTCGAAGCCTGATAGTTTATTTTATCCATTATTATACTTTATTATAATTTGTAAAATATGTGCATCCTTTTAATGCATCCTTTTAAGGACACCTCTATTCCTTGATGACTCAATCCAATAAACCACAGAGTTCAACGATTTTTACGCTTTCGATAGTTTAATGACGGGATTGCGAGATGATGTTCATACCGTGTATGTACAACGTATGAAAATATATGTTTTGATCATCTTGACACTTGAGGACGGCGTTGCATGGATTTGCACAAAGGATATTAGCTAAATCGGAAAGTTCCCTCCGTTTTTTTGCAAAAAATATGGTTTTATTTAAGAAAGAAGATAAAAATGTACATCAATCAAAATATTGTACATCGTTAGCGATGACCTTTTCCCATCTTTCGGACAGCAAGCAAATTCCGCGGCGAAAGAATGACTCGTCTTTGGAGGCTATCCAGTCAGAGACCCATTTCTCGACGTCTTCGTAATAATTGAAGCGTTCCTCAGCAAGTACGTGTGCCATCGATCGAAACAAGTGGTAGTTAGAAGAAGGGGCACAGTCTGATAAATAAGCCGCAATTCCTAGTGAAGTGTTTCTAACGTTTCTTTGACAAGTTTTATGACGTGAGGTCGAACGTTGTCATAAAGCAAAATCACTTTATGCTGTCTCGTTTCATATACTGGTCATTTTTCGTGCAATGCTCGGCTCAAACGGATAATTTGTTCTCGTTAGAGATGCCCTGTAACTGTTTAACCAGATTTCAACAGCTCATGGTACACTACACCCTTTTGATCCCACCAAATACAATTGCCTTCTTTTCGTGGATATTTCGCTTTGGTGTCGGTGTTGAGGATTGGCCGGGGTTGTAAATGGTTTTTCGACATTTGGGATTGCCAAAATATATCCATTTTTCATCCCCAATGATAATTCGATGCAAAAACCCCTTTCTTTGTTGCCTAGCAAACAGAATTTCGCAGATAGTTTTTCGCCTTTCAATGTCTCTTGGCTTCAGTTCATATGGGACCCATTTCCCTTCCCCATAGATCTTTCCCAAGGCTTTCAAACGATCGGAAATAACAGATTGAGCACAATTTAATGCTTCTGCAAGTTGTTTTTGCGTTTGATATGGGTCTTCATCCATCAATGCCTGCAATTCTTCGTCTTCGAATGCTCTTGGCCGTCCAGAACGCTCTTTGTCCTCCACATCAAAATCACCACTTTTAAAGCGTCGAAACCATTCTCTGCATGTTTTATCGGAAGGAGCACTATCACCATAAACTTCTACAAGCATTCAACGAGCTTCAACTGCAGTTTTCTTCCATTTGAAGCAAAAGATTAATACTTCGCGCAAATGACGCTTATTTGGCTCAAATTTCGACATTTTCGATGCAGTAAGAAACAATGTGATTGATGCGAATGTATACCTTTATATATTGAATTTTATTGACAGACGATAAAACTAAAAACTTAAGTTTGGTTTAGACATTAGAGTTACCGACAATTCTAGCTATAGCTACTCGCCGCTAGGTGGACGGAACTTTCCGATTTACTTAAAATATAACTGTTGGGAAGACTATAAATTACACAGTTATCTCGCGATGAAATAACTCTGTCGGACGAAATAAATATTTATTTTCTTGAGCGTGAAACTGGAGCTGATATTCATTCAATAATCGGCTCTGATATAAGATTATATCATACTACGAATTTTATTACAATTGTAATATTTAATTGTCTTGAATGAAATAGCAAGTCACATTCGCTAAAATGAATATTGTTTGTGTTGACTCCTGAAAGAAATGCGATAGTCTTATCATGAGAAACGGAGATTACAACGTCATTGAGAACAAAACACATACATCAGAAAGTATAAATACTTTTACACAGTAAAATGTGCATGCTTGTGTTTTTGTTAGTGAAAGATTAATACTTCGCGCAAATGACGCTTATTTGGTTCAAATTTCGACGTTTTCGAATGTCGAAATTTTATTTTAATTACAGAATCCCTTGAAAATCATTGGATCGCATATTAACAAATAGCAAACAAATAATTTATGACATGCCTTTCAAGAATAAAAATTTACTTCACTTCTGAATGAAAATGAGACTTTTCTTCAAGACTGTGTAAATGTCTTTTTATGCTAATTAAACGATATGTTTACGCAAAGATAAAGATTACGCAACAAAATACACGTGCTGTCGATTACATATATAATTACTTGTTTGTGAATCGATATGCATAATATTAAAATAAAACTTAGACGTTTTCGACGCAGTAAGTAGTGAAAATATATGTGTTTGAAAATATCAGACGATTGTCATAGTAATTTTACGAAATGTGTAAGAATTCAATTAAAAATATGAAAATGAAACTCCGACTGAGCGGATTCAGGATTTATGAGTAGAGCGAAGAGAAAGCCATTTCGAAAGAATGAATAAGGTTCAATAATTATTCTACTAAATACCGGCAGTCCTCGAGAATAGGTAATTCAAACGGTTGATTTATGTTTAACCGAGCATTTTGTAAAATATGTTACGTACTCATCCTTGAAATAATATAAATTTCAATCGTGGACTATAGATTAGTCTTAGCAAAATATAGAAAACAAAGCGCACGCAGTACTTTTAAATAAACAACTACAAATAAACAACAACAAATAAACAACGCAAATTTTACAACAAATTTTCTATATTATATTATAAATATATATTATAAATATATTATAAATATATTATAAATTACAAAATCGAATTTCAAGATAATGACTAAGTAAACTTTTAATTAATAATAAAAATAAAATAATAAAATATATTTTAATTTATAACACTAGAACAAGGAAGCGCGTGCGCTATTTAGTTAATTATTATTACATGGAAAAATCTCAGTTCGTATAATTTAATTAAAAATAGGTATTAGACTAAAATTCTTTTCTTAATCTCTTCAGGGATATTGACACATATGTGTACGTTTAGTTTTATTTAAAAATTTCCGTTATTTATAACTACAAAAATTTTTGAAATTAAAAAATTAAACGTTATCAAAGTAAGCCATGATGGCTACATATCAAAATCGGTTCGCAAATAAGGTTTGTTTTTTGTGCACTCCATTAGAATAGATCATAAATTAAAAATTTTAAATTCATCTCTGAAGAGGTTAATATATACCATATTGACCGTTACATAGGAAAATATCATGAAAGAACATATGAAAGACTTTTTCCTATTCTCTATGTCATGAGCTAACACGCATCGCTATCACCCTTATCTTTAAACTTAGACCATGTTATCTTCAACGTTGCATTATTTTCACTGTTCTACGAATTTCTAATAAATTTCTTTAAAAAAACGTCACCATCCCCACTTACACCAAATTTCCACTATAAAAACCTCGATTTTTCTCTAAACAAACATTCTTTCTACGTTGCTTTTACGTTCAGTTTCTTACAAATCAACATTCAATACAAAGTTTTTTTATCATAGTTACCATCACAGTCATAGTTATACTAATTTTTATATGCGTGCGTTAGCGTTTTTTTGTTAATCGACTGACCAGTGCCATATTTTACGTACCACCCACTACAGCCGATCCGCCAGCGTCGTAAGTCTCTACTTTTATTTCATATTTATACATAATTTCCAATAACTTCATTACTCCAATCCTACTTCATTCCTTAGGCACATATATGTACACATGCACTTCAATGTAATATTATTATTCCGTATTATATAATATTATTCGTATCGTATTAGTATGATAAATATTCTCGTTACATCAGATCCGATCGTATTAAGTTATATTTTCAATCTTCATCTTTTATAAACCGTTTTATCTTTTAAATATTGCATATTTTACAATAACTCTTTCCATCGACTCATCAATATTGTTAACCAACATGAAAAGTGAATTATGCTATTAGCATAATTAATAAACTGCCTTATTTAAAATGTCTTAAATTTAACTAAATTGCTTACATTTATTCATTTATTTTCTTTCAATTACTTCAATCAGAAATCTCCTTTCAACACTCTCATATGATCCTATCCCAAAGAGATTAAGTTCTTTGATCTGAATAAAGGACCACCAAATGTACATTTTGCAACGGAGTAAACGGGCCCTTTCAATCCTTGACCTGATCTGTAGAGTACGTTTAGGTACTCGTGTATTCGCGTACATCCTCCTCCAGGACGTAACAATATTATCGTTTAATATTGACATATTGTTTTCTAAAATAATTAACAGCTACGATGTATATACGAATACCTCAACACGAAGTGAATGTTAGAATTGAATGAAGAATGAAGAATAAAGAATTTTCTTACTTTGAAAGAGCTTCTCAGTAATCTTAATCATTCCGGTTCTAAAAACGTTATCTATAATTCGCATAGTAAGTTAATGTTATGCGTGCGATTTACAAACAATAATTATATATGTATCTACAGTATGTGTGTATGCTGTGTAATCTTTATCAGCGTAAACATATCGTTTAATTAGCATAAAAAAATTTACACAATCTTGAAGAAAAGTCTCATTTTCACTCAGAAGTGGAGCATATTTTTATTCTTGAAAAGCATGTCATAAATTATTTGTTTGCTATTCGTTAATATGCGATCCAATGATTTTCAGGGAATTCTGTAATTAAAATGAAATTTCGGAAACGATAAGTAATCTAAAATTAACTATTATAAATTTGTGTGGGACAGCAAACGGATAATATTTAATAATTGTTCGGACACGTCACGTGTTAGTTAACGTGACTACCGTTTTTAATATTTCATTAAAATCTTCACAATATTGATATCGTCGTATGCGTTCCTGCTCGTCTTTCTCGCATCGCATCAAAAAATCCAAAATTCGCACGGGGCAAAAAATCGTAAATATTGTGATTTAATTATTAGCAAACTTTTTTGTAGTGGAAATCTTCCACTCGAATTTTGAGGCGTTTTGCAACATATTAATATGTGTAATTTATATGTCACTTGAAATGTAACTGTAGTTAATTTTCCGTTAAAATAAGTTCCATTTAACACTTGCAACGATCGAGAACATCATTCTGTTTCTGTTCAACGTACAGGGAATACAAAGATAGAATAATGTTCGCGATCGTTGCGAGCGTTAAGTGGAACACAACTCTAAACAGTGGTGTCGCATTTAAGCAAGTCAGGAGAATGATTCCAGTTAATTTTACATTGAACGCAAGATGTTTTTAATTTTATCAGCGCAAGTATTTTTGTCGTGTCATCGACAAATTTTCGGTATGTAAACCGTGATATAACTTTATATTTGTATTCCATAATTAATACTGTCTTTAGGTAAAAATTATCGGAAACAGTGTTAAGTGAAACATGCAAATTATGTTAAAATATCAAAAAAATAGATTCGACCGTTAGTTGCGAACATGCAACTAACGGTGGAATCTAAAAAATTAACATCTTAACAATATTAAAAATGCCCATGCTTGTTCATATGTTATCAGTCATACAATCAACATTGTGCGACTGATAATATATAATTATGTCCAAGAAAAAAGGTATTCATTTTGAGTAAAAAAATACTGCCTTTTTCTTCTGGCAATTTCCTGCGCCCCTATTCTGTAACTTTTAACTATTTTAAGGGCATCACGCATGAGTTATACATTTTTGTGCAGACAAAATGTATCACAAAATAACTATGCAACAATATACTAATGATAACCAAATTTTCATCACGAGTTATGAAATAAGAAGGCTAGTAATTATATTGAACGTAACAAGCGTGGGTATTTCTAATACGTCGGCATCAATTAACTTTTTCAGTAATTTGCGTAAAGAATCAGAAAACGTTATCACATTAGCTATTTCTTTTTTTGGAATTGACCTAAATGATATAATTAACATATCATTTCTTGCTCTTCCCCTCTTCTGTATCTTTGAACTTCTTTTATCAATAGATAACACCTGTTAAAACAAAAATCGGCAGCATAAATCTTTATCTTGCAAGTCACCATGATACATGATTTGAGTTATCTATATTAGAGTATTATGATACGACAGTAGTCGTACATTGCAGATCTCTCAGTGAGCGCATCGTGAACCTCTGCTTCACAGAACGTGCGGCGATAAAAGAGAAGCAAGAATCCTTTCAATTGCCGAGAGTCATTGTCACTGACTTCGCTTCGCAAACACTTTGATATCAGCGTTGGAAGGAAGCGGAACGTCGCCGGTCGTAAATAACAGCGATTAAAGGACGAGTAACTCAATAATCAAGTAACGAGTGAATAAATCGGCGATAATGGCATTAGAAATTCTCTGTGTTTGCGTGGCGATTTTGCTGTTACTTTATTATTACGCCACTGCCGACTTCGACTATTGGAAGTCTCGTGGTGTCAAAGGACCGAAACCGATTCCGTGGTTTGGCACCATCGCCAGCCACCTTTTAAGCAAGATATGTATGGGTAGTTACTTGAGGAAAATTTACGAGGAATATCCGGACGAGGCGATGGTCGGTGTGTTCTTCAGAGGACAGCCCAAACTTGTTATCAGGGATCCCGAGCTCATCAAGCATGTGTTGATCAAAGACTTCACCGCTTTTCCCGAGCGGGACGTTCGAGTTCATGAAAAGGTACGGCTTCATTTTGCGCGACAATGCAATAAATAATTACATACGCATTCTCTTTATCAAAATACACACACGCGCGTTGGCCAGTAAGTCAATGAACTCTCTCGAGATAAACTTTCTCCCTTTCCTCCAGCTGTAGATAATGTACAAGCTTTAAGAGTAAAACAAATAATATATAACAAAAAGAACGTTTTAGAATAAAATGCGACGAGACCCGATAAACCACAAACGATTATATAAGTTGTAGAATCGCGATGGAAAATCACAGAAAGAACATTTACAACGATTTGCAATTCACACCGTCTCAGCAATCGTTCATTATGTAAACCGACACGTGGCCAGTCAATTGCGACTGGGTCAATTGCGTATCAATCGCGGCAAATGTAAATTAAAAAATCGAGAGTACGGCGGAAAGACTTTAGGCTCAACCTCTCTCTCTCTCTTTCTCTCTTGCTGGAGTTACTGGCGTATAAGTTTCCGACCGGGCGTTGATCACACGGAAACTTCGAGGGGGAACTTTCTAACGTAATTCCCGCTTTCTGATACACTGATGCATAATTTATAGGCCGAACCCCTGTCCGTGCATCTCTTCAGGATCGACGGTGCTAGATGGCGACCATTAAGAACGCGGCTCTCGCCCGTCTTCACGTCCGGAAAGTTGAAGGACATGTTTCACTTGTTGCTGGAGTGTGGCGAGCACTTGGAGAGGCACCTCCATGAGATCGTGCCCAAAGACGACATCATCGAGTGCCGGGAGCTGACGTCTAAATATACCATCGACGTGATCGGATCGTGCGCTTTCGGCATAGAGATGAATGCGCTGAACCAAAAGGAGAGCGACTTCCAAAAATTGGGCGTTAGGATCTTCAAAGTCACTCCGAAGACGCTGATCAGGAATCTATTTAGAGATGTTACTCCGTGGTTGTACGATCAGTTTGGGAATATCCTTGACGATCGGGAAGTGACAAACATCATGACAACCATGGTTATGAATACTATAAATTACAGAAAGCAGAACAACGTGCACAGACAGGATATCATCGACATGCTCAAAGACTTTAAGGATCATCCCGATAGATTGGATCTCGACCGTAAGTGGCTTTGCCCGTCGATTCTTGAATTAACAGAACTCGACCGCTCCCTTGCTTTTCATCTTCCTCAAATATCTCTACGTGATTTATCACGTGCCGACAGACAGACAACACCTGCTATATGATAAGATTCCTCCTCCTGATTAAAACTGCATTCTGAAAACATAGTCGACGGAAATAAAATAGTATCTAATTGAGCAATCAGAAAGAGAAAGAAATAAACGAAAACAAACCGAAGGTTTCTTCATCTTAATTGGTTAATTAAATGGTATCCTAAAAAAGTATCTTGTTTGATTAATTAAATGATATCTGACACCCGTCGACTATTCGAAAGCGTAGCCTAAATATTTTTAATTAGATAATCTGATAGACAATTGATTAGATTAGATATCTAATAGAACCATTATTCGATCAAATCAAATCACTAATGTCCGCTTAATTACACTGATTGCCTTTCGCAGAAGTACCGGACACATATGTTGCCGCCCAATTGTTCGTGTTTTTCGCGGCCGGCTACGAGACGTCCTCTACGACGATGAGTAATGTTATGTACGAGTTGGCGCAGAATCTGGTTGTTCAGGAAAAAGTGCGAAATAATATCAAAGAAGTCCTCGACAACAACGACGGAGTGATATCGTACAACAGCGTTAATGAGATGACTTATTTGGAACAAGTAATCAAAGGTTCGCTCGAATAATTTCACAATTATTACAAATGATTTTTTTACAAAATTATATCAGCTCACACGTTCTGTGCCTCGCTGACCTTTGCCGATTCTCACGTTCTTTGTAAATTTTCTTTGTAAATTTGCAGAAACTCTCCGGAAATATCCGCCGGTGATGTTCCTCACGAGAAATACTCAGCAGAATTACACATTTGAGGGCACCAAAGTCAACATAGATAAAGATGTTAAAGTGTATATACCCATCTTTGGCATTCATTATGATCCAAATATCTACCCAAACCCGGATGTCTTTGATCCTGAAAGATTCAACGATGAAAACATGCGAAAGAGGAATCCCATGCATTACCTGCCGTTCGGGACTGGTCCGAGGAATTGCATCGGTAATTTGTAATTTTTAAAACTTACGCGTCAATATTTAACACGATATTCGCGTGTAATTCCCATCTTTCCCTTTCTCTCGATGATACCCCCGATTTGTTTCGATAAATAGAGACACTCCGTTCAATCACATCGCATTTAACTTCGTCTGCGTTATTTTCAGGTATGAGGTTCGCCGGATATCAAACGAAAGTCGGCCTTATAAAAGTGCTGCTGAATTTTGAGATCAATGTCTGCGAAAAAACTCAGATTCCGCACATCATTAGTCGGAATCATCCACTTATGTTTCAGACGGAGCACGGTATATATGTCAAATTGACTAAACTCTTTTAACCGAAACTCGTGATAACGATTTTATATAACTTTTATATAACCGCTACTATAAGCGCTGCTTGTGTGTCTACATATATTACATATGTAATATATAATGTTATATTTTTCTTATATGAGAATTGCTCGAGAAGCATAACATTTCGAATGTATATATATAAGTTGTTAAGCTTGTTTTTCTCAAGTGCGAGGAGTATTTAAGGCATTATGTATTAATACTTTAATACAATTCGATTATTTGATAAGATAATTTGTAGTTCTGTATCTTCTTTCTATTGCTCGTAAAATTCAACTAAATTAAAGACAGAGTATTATGTAACGATATTAATAATAAAAAAATAACATTATAAATTATATATATATATATATATATAATAAATAATAATAAGTAATATGAATAAAAGAATTTTTTAAGGAAAATAAACAATATTTCGTTATAATACGTATATTTGCATATATATTGATCTGTGTCGAAAATGTTAATTAATATTATGATGAATTAATAGATTATGATTAATATTATGACATTATCTCATTCCTGTTTATCCTTCAATTTCTACCGGTAACACTATATAATTCTTAACAGACTTAGAACTTATAACTTAGAACTTATAAACTTTTGATTATTTAGTTTTTATATTCAGTTATTAGTATTGTATTATCTAACAAACTGAATAATTATTCACAGCTTTTTTCAATCAGTTGTCAATCAGTCGCTCCTATTTGAGGAAATAGATAAATTAATAGCAGACGTAATAAAGTTACGTAAAATGTTGAATTTTATTATTATGAAAATATGCGTTTCAGTTTCTGAATGTTATCTACTGTGTCACACTAGCGATTATTGGTTACGTTCGTGCCTGTGTTTGAGTCTACGGTTATCTCTCGATAAATAAGAAGTGACTTGATTTTGATTAGTTAAGAGATGCAAACGCAGATGTAACCGTTAGAATGATACGAAGATACTAATGATAATCTAATTGAATTTACTGTCGAATGTGTCAGATTTGTCGATATTCGTAGACCTTTGCGAAGTGGGAATAATTACAACAAACACACCTGTCAATTTAATTTCATTCATTATATATGCATTATATATGTATTATATAATCGCGTGATGTAAATGATATGTGCGATAAACCACGTGTATGTTTTGCTTCTCAGACGTCGACCTTGAATACTGGCAACGTTTCGAAATAACAGCAAGGGAAATAATGGTATCTCATTGGCTTAATGTATGTGCAAAGTCACATCCCCTCTGCTTCTCTCATTAGTACATCATCATTACCAAGAGTTAACACTCGCTCCATTACGACGTGATTTTTTTGTACAGATTATATTAGTCTTCAAACTTTTGGCTGCGACAACGCCCATTTTCGCGCATTATTGCGCAGTGATTATTATAGATCTATAGTAATAAAACAGTGCGTCATTAGTGTCTTAGTTTAAGATTCAAAGATCACGACGACGACGATGGCAGTCTGAGATTGAGCGCAGTTTAGCGGTGTGAACTTTGCATTGTTCTACGAGTAAAAATTAATAACGGAGCTTCGTCACCGCTAAAAGAGATTAACGGCGCGCATAATGTTTCCCTACAATATACTGTTCGGCTGTGCCGCAATTCTTCTAGCGTTGGGCTATTATGTAATCGCGAAGTACAACTATTGGAAGGCGCGTGGCGTGAAGGGCCCGAAGCCGCTGCCGATTGTTGGCAACTTCGGTAGAATTATAGCCGGCAAGATGTCTCTAGGTGATTTCTTGAAAGAAATCTACGTCAAGTACAGAGGAGAACCGTTAATAGGTATCTACTCAGGTCTCGAACCTATTCTGGTAGTCAAGGATCCTGCCTTCATAAAGGACGTTCTTATTAAAGATTTCTCCGTCTTTGCCGACAGAGGAATACATGTGAACGACAAGGTTAGTAACTCAAACCGTATGAATCTGCGTAGTTAGATTAGAAGTTGGTTGAACGAGAAGGTTAGTAAACTCACCCATATGAATCTGCGTAGTTAGATTAGAAGTTGGTAAAATAAAATTCCGAATAACCGTGTCGAACTGTGTTGCATCACTGATATCGTCAATAATACGTTTATCTTATTTTTCTGTAAGAACGTTTGAATTCAAAAAGAAAAATAAGCGTCTCGTTAACAACTGATGATCGGGACAAATTCCATTAATATGTATTTATAGATTAGCGCGATTGGTTCTATAAGTGCATGTCAATCAAATCATCGTATCTCTGCTTCATAATATCGAAAGTCATATTTTCTCTCCGTGAAGATAAATCGACGAAGGCAAACCGCAGGGAGAGCCGATAAAGAGAAATTTCACGAAGTAACCGCACTTTGATTTTTCAGATAGACACGTTCGGTACAAATTTGTTCTCGATCGACGCGAAACGATGGCGATTGATAAGAGCCAAGCTCTCGCCCACTTTCTCGTCCAGCAAGCTGAGGGACATGTTCTATCTTTTGGTGCAATGCTCGAATAACTTCAGCCAGTATATGGATCGCCAGGTACAGCAGGAGTCGGTCATCAATAGCAGAAAAATCACGTCCAAGTTCACCGCCGACGTGATAGGCACCTGTGCGTTCGGCATCGATCTGAAAACGCTGAACGACGAGGACTGCGAATTCCTGCAAATGGCGAGGAAAATGATGCAGCCGTCTATGAAGGCCATCTTCAAGGATTTTCTAAGACGCATGACGCCGCAACTCTATGACCTTATCGGTCATTTGTTAACCAACAGACATATCGAGAGATATTTCATTAAGATAGTCATGGACACTATCGAGTACAGAACAAAGCACAACATAATCAAGCACGATTTCGTAGACATACTTCAGGATCTCAAGAAACATCCGGAGAAGCTGCCTGAAATAGGTACGACGATAGGACAAAACTCATCTTTCGAGCTCACTGCCGATTTTATAAAATTTTCCTTCTTGCAGAATTGACGGACAATATGATCGTGGCGCAAGCCATCGCGTTCTTCATCGCCGGCTTCTTCGCGTCTTCCATATCGATCAGCCACGTCCTGTACGAATTAGCATTGTATCCAGAAATGCAGAAGCAGCTCCGAGAGGAGATCATGAAGGAGCTCGAGAAGACCAACGGTGTGATCGAGTATGACAGCATAAAATCGTTGAATTACCTGGACGCGATCTTTAAAGGCAAGACAATCGTTATCTTCGAGTGTACACTTGATTTTAATTCGATTTGAAGTTTCGAACTCGTCATCTTCGAGTGTACATTTGGTTTCAATTCGGTTTGACAGCTTTTTTCTCGGTGCAGTTTGGAACGTAGCCGACGATCCGACGAGAAAATTTTGTTTCCTCGAAATTCCTGGAAATTAAATTCTCTCATTGGCTTCATCGGCTGCGTTTCGAACAGCATCAAGGAAACGTCCGAACCGTTTTAAAACGATTAAGTGGAAAAATCTAAATTTTCCGTATTTTTTCCCCTCAAATTTAGAGACTCTGCGGAAGTATCCGCCGGTCACGCACATTATGAGAAAGTCGGTCGCGGACTACACCTTCTCCGGAACGCAAGTGCACATTCCGCAGGGACAACACATCTGGATACCGTTATACCCGATTCATACCGATCCCAAAATCTACCCCAATCCGGAGATCTTCGATCCTGAACGGTTCATGAAGGGCAACAGCGAGTCGGTGAACCCGAGTACTTACCTGCCGTTCGGAAATGGCCCTAGGAATTGTATCGGTAATGCTCGGCAGAATCTTCAGTTTCTCTCTTCTAGAAAAGATCGAGATGTTACGTAAAACGAACCTAACGAACGATCTTATTTCGCGAACTAAGAGACTCCCGTGCGAATTTCGATATTCGATATACCTTCGGCGAATGACTCGCTGCGGCATAAATATCGAATATTCCGCATGACCTCGACAATCGGAGCAATGGCATGTTTTCAGGTGCTCGTTTCGGGACATACCAGACGAAGGTTGGCATTATAGAAATAGTGAAGAACTTCCAAATAAACACCTGCGAGAAGACCGTCTTTCAATATGGCAAACAATCTCGCTCCTTCATACTCGCTCCTCAGGACGGCCCGTATCTGAGATTCACTAAAATCAATCGAGGTTAATCTACAAATGCAGCAGCCGATATATGATATAACATACTATTTTCGCTATATCGTAACTTTCTACTTTGTCTCTCGATTTGTTTCTCGCAATTTTAGCAAAATTATCTTCTCTCATAGCGTTATGTAAAATTATTTCTCTAAACGATATTATTAAATCAATCAGAAAGTTCGGCTCGATTTCCATTGATTTCAACTGATGTTACAATAACGTGTAACACAGTAATATTTGCCGAACAGGATATCGTAGGGAGGCATTATTTTGCTGATAGTATTCTACTGTCAAGGCATCGACGAAGGATCGCAGACAACACCACGGCGATTATCAGATTGATTTCACCGTCCGCTGAGTACAATAAGTTCGACTAAAAATCGAGACGAATTTTTCGACTGAAGCGAACGTGATAAGTTATTCACGATGATTGTAAACGCGTGAAATAAATGGGAATATTTTATGGTGTTATTTTATACAAGTTACTCGGATGTTTCCAGTTACTTTCGAGTATTTTCATCCAACGACGTGTGCACGTCCCGAGCATTGTATTTTCGCAACAACGTTCCGGACTTGTTACGGGAGCGATAAACTTCTGTCCCGAGCACCTTATTGCGTGCGTGTGTAGTGAGTATGTAGCAATTATAACAGACACGACGCCGGGCGTGCCTATTGAATGCACGCGTGTGTCTCGCGGCACGAATACGATATTACATTAAACGCACGTCGCGAAATTGCGAGGCGGCTACTATCGAAAGGTGATTTTTCCGGACGCTCCCCTTCACACGCTAGGAGATCCCCGCCGCCGTCTACGTCTCGATCTCTGTTATTTTCCAACTTGTTCCCGACGTGTTACGCGAGCCGCAAAACCGTCTCTAACAAAAGAGTCGATATTCTAACGAAGAGTTAACGTTTCACATCTCGCCAGCTTTATTCTCGAATTTAAAAATCTCTCCGCGCCAATGCAGCGCGCGCTTCACGCGTGTACGCTTTCGCGAGTTTTTTACCCCCGTTTTTTTTTTTCCAGTCAGCCGACGTACACGTAAATCACTTTCACTGCCCGCGGGGTGCACAAATTAAATCCGGCTTGTTCTGTAATTCAATTTTTAGCTTTTAATACTCGCGCTTTTATGCATTGGCAGTTGTCATTTTTCTTGAATTGTTATGTTTCGCCGCAACAACACAAAGCGCATGTAAAAAGCTGCGTGCGCGTCGTGCATCGGGATGTGTGGATTTGAAAGATTAATTGGCAGGGAAATAAAAAAAATAGCGGAGGATGTATCCTGACTTTTGAATGTTTCCTGCTCGCGCAAAAGGCGCGCACATGCTCGGTATTAATTCACCGCTGTCTACATAATGTTCGAGGACCGGACGAAAGTAGCACCCCGCGTTCGACGTTTATTACGTCCGCTTGACAACGCTTGCAATATAACGTATTGGTACATCTCGTACACGATATATCGCACTTCATAACTTCGTACCGTAAACCTTCATTCGACAAATACATCGGTCGAATTTTCCGTCCGTTAATAGCGTGAGAGACTGCAAAAGTCGAGAATTAATATCGAACCAATTTGAGGTCCGTAAAGTTCAGTTTTTTTAAGACAATGTGATTACTTAAAGTACATTGCGTACTTATCGCAGAGTTATATTGAGTTTCGAATGGGAGGAGATGATAAAAGATGGAGAAAAAACAGTAGGTCTCGTCTCGAAGAGTCCCCCATTCTCGTCGACATTTTTCCTGTGAAACTCGCGACCACGATGAACTTGCGTGTGCGTAGCCTACCAAATGCGATAAATGTAACTCCAGCGAATCGGGCGACACAAGGTGGTCACGGACGCGTTCGGTTAAACGCAGCGGGGAAGCGCACCGCGTCATCTCCAACGGTACTGGTCATGCGATTGTCATTTCGCGAGGAACAAGGTTTTACAGGCTACAGGCTTTGCATTTTATGCGGTATATGCCTTTTAGCGCCCCATCGCGCATACATGCCAGTTTTTCTCTTATTTAACATTAAATGACGAAGAATTATTCTTACGAAGGGCGGTTGATAAATATCCGATAAATACCCCGAAGCAACGAAAAGGTAAACAGTTTATCGGGTTGAATTATATTTATTCTTCAATATAGTCTCCTTCTATTTCGATACACCTGTCAGCGTTTCTCGAAAGCAGTTATATTTGGCAGATCGATTTCTCGAGTTTTTCAAAATAGCCATTTAGGAGCCATTCAATAATTACACTAAATTTGGGTGTTTTTACCACCTCTCCTCCTTCGTCAGAATTAGGTCACAAAGTCATTTACACCCTTCCAATATTACGTGACATATGCGAAATTCCTCCGCTGATACATAGAATAAAAAACTAAACTATAACTATATTGTGAGTAATAATGATTAGATTTTACTGTTACTGTCTCTTTCTAAAATACAAATAATTTTGAGACATATAATATTAATTATTTTATTATGTAATGTTGATTTTAGAAAAATTGTATTTCTAAAAGAATCTAAAGGAATCTAAAGAAAAAGAAATCTAAAATTCTAAAAGAAAAAAATATTAAAAAATTAACATTTTTGATTGTTAACGTACAATCATGCCGAAGCTTGAAAACTTTTATCAATCGTAACCAAACCCACCAAAGCGTCTTCACAGTTCATTCGACCACGTCTGAAATATGTAATCCATGTGTGCACCGTTCTTATCGAAGGAAAAGAGTTCTCCCCAAGAACTGCAACCAACTTGGCTTTGATCTGCATAATTCTGTTCCCTTTCAAAACATAGAATTTCGTGAAAAACCTCGGTTTTTTCCACATCTACGGAAATCAGTGAGAGCACCTACGTTAGCGAGCTGTCACGCAAACACTGCGAGTGATAGTGAGCCTACATTTGACATATGTTCGTTTGAAGCACGAAACTTGTCAACGACAACAGCAATTTGATACTACTGTCGTGATCTGTGCGTCGTTTCGGATGCTTCTCAATCGAGTCTCGTAAAACATCCGCCTTCAGGGGCCGAGCGGACACGAGCTTCGAAGGACGGTCTCGAGCTCTGAACTCTATCGGTAGAAAGCAAAATTAAGGCCATCTTTATCTGTCACGTAAACACCCCAACTTTCATGAGAACCGAAACGGTTTGTCACTATTCTCCGTTAAGTCGTCGCGACGATCGATTCTCCGATAATTCGAAATTTTTGCGTACGCCCTTCCTAAATTCAATTCCACCCTCGGGATTCTCCTCGCTCACCGCTAAACAGCATCCTAACTACAGCGCACGCGGAACTACACTCCCGTGACCTCTTTAACATTTCTCACACCTAACTACGAGCAAAATACAAATAGCTCGCGTTCCTTTGTTCTGTATCGGTCGCGGTCTCAGCGTTTTCAGCGACAGCAGCCGTTTTCTAACGTTTACCGATTCGCGGAGCGGACAAGGGGGTGCGCGCGCGGCGGCGAGGGACTCGAGCGAGAACGACGGGGATGAAAAGTGGTCGACGAGCGCTTTAAGCGGCCGCCGCCGCGCCGGAGGGTGACGAAGTCGCACGAGTCGCGCCGAGCCGAGCCGAAAGCTCCGACAACCCCGTCAGTAGGCCTGCCGCAACGCAGCAGTGAGCGCGCCTTCCACCACGAGCGAGAGTTTGCATTGCCCAAGGATCGGCTGATCAGTGGGATTCTGCGGGCTCGCAATCGAATGTTTCTACGATCTCCGATCGCCCCACGCGCGAGTGTGATCCGGACGCCGATTGTCGAGAGCGATCTACTACGGTCGCACCAAGTGTGATCCAAAGTGAGAAGTGTGTCCACGAAAGTGCAGCCCCCTCCCGCCGTCGTACGTCTCCCTCGGCAGGAATTTGGCACGGGTTCCAAGCGTGAGCCGGTATCACGGAATCACGACAGAGCTCGGACAGTCCTGGAAAAGCGAAATGTATTTTCGCGAATGAGAGTAGAACGAAGATAGACGAAGCGATTGCCTCTTTTTCCCCGGCGATTTCTCTCATCGGACACTCTCGGCCGACTACCTGAAATCTCGTCGTATCGATCACCGAGAGGGAGAACCCGTCGATCGATCCGTCGAGTGAAGACCGAAGAGCGCGAACGTTCCTCTCTCTCTCTCTCTCTCTCTCTCTCTTTCCCGACATTGACCAGTATTTTCCGCCTGAACGTACCCGCCATCCCGGGAACATCCGCCCGCACGATTATTATTATTCCAGGAGAGAACGAGAGCGGCGCACCGTGAACTTCTCTCGCGGCGGTCGCAGGAAGGAAGAAAAACCGCGCGACGCGCAGAGAAAAGAGAGAAAGAGAGAGAGAGAGAGAGAAAGAGAGGGTGGGCGGTAATAATAACGATATACCAAAGTGCAATGGGAAATGCTTCCGTTCGCACGGCACAACGATGATAACTCCTGACACCCCCGTGTAACGTTCGACGCGCTTATTGCGCGCGATACAGCGAACAAAGTTGCCACCTAACTTATCGATTTTTTCCGTCCCACGCTCTCGAAAACATCATTACGTCATTATTGCCGAGCGATGACGGAGGAGACGAGCGCGCGCGCGGACCGGCCGCGCGTGTGAAACTTAGTGGTGTATGAAGTGAATAGCCAATAGACTATGCAAGGATGTACAATTACCCGATCGAGTAACCCCATTAGACGGCGTTGAGGTTTGCATACATAAATAACACGCGTAATCGCGCGCGGAGCCTTTAAGGAGTTGTGCGACTTACTTATAATCCTCAGTTTTACGTCGGGACTCCACGAGCGAGCTGTGTGCTCTCTCGCGTGCTCCGTGAACTGCACTTAAGTCTCCTCTCGAGGCGCAGTTCGAGCCTCCCCCTGTGGCGCCGCCGTCCCCGCACACACCCGCCGCGTTCCCTCGTTCGTTACCCGTTAAAAGTGTATATCGGGCGTTTTATCGGAGGTCACTGTGGAAAATCGGCTCGGCGGAGGAGGAAGAGAAGGAGGAGAGGGGATTCACCGGGATCGAATCGATGCGACGGATCCTCGTCCACCACTTATGACGAGATGCGCCCGTTAGATAGCAGATTTCGGACCTGACGGATATCTCCGAGGATTCGTCTCATTGAAAGTTATATCAGCCGCGTCGGTTTCCTCCCCGCCCAACCCCACCCCAACCTGTCCCTCACCTCACTTCGCTTCTACCCCTGGCTTAAGTACGGGACTTAAGGAGGACGATATCCGAACGAAGGGGATGGGAAGCACGGAATCGCTTACAATGGAGAGGATGCTTTTGCTGATGAGCTTGCTGGCCCGGTTCGTCGTAGCGGAAGTTTTGCTCGGCAATGTCGACGAGCCACGTAAGTGAATGAAAAACTTGAAAGTCTCTTTCTCCGCCTCTCTGCAGACAGGGGAGAAAGAGAAAGGAAGAGAGAGAGGGAGAGAGAGAGAGAGATAGAAGAATAAAAAATAATATGTAATTGCGGAGGGGAATGCCATGCTCTTGTTCGTTTGCATTCAATAACGGAATTGGGGAAACAAATAATTGGTTCGGATCGCGAGGGTATTTTGATTCTAGTTATAAGGTTCCATCCTCCCCTCTATCTCTTCTTCTTCTTCTCTGTCTTCTCCCGGGTTTATGTTTCATCCGAAGTTCCGTTATCGGTTATACGTGTATCAGCGGTTACGTTTAAGGTCTAAGTATCCGTGTTGCTTTCAAAGGCAACCGGCCCGAAATGTTTACGCTTGCAACATTTTCCCGCTTTCTCAACATAACGAAAATATTTATGCACCTACATTAAGATCGCCTCTACCGATCCACATCGATCGTCTATATTCCGACGCGAAGTTATGAACCGGTAAACCGTTGGATGACGTGGTGGTGCGGTGAACGACGGACGATTAGTCTCCTACGGCAAGTTGTTGCGCTGAAACTGACTACGATCCTAGACAAACTGTCTCTGTATAAACTGCCGTGTACAGTCAAGGGCTGTTTCGAAAAGTAACGCGGCTCGCGTTTCGATCGATACTCGCGGCTAGTGAAATACTCGCGACATTCGAGGTTGAAAAAACGCAAACAAATATATGATATGGGCTGAGTGAATGCTCGTGTTAAAGAAGCTCGAGCAACCTTAACGCACGCTACGTGTGTGATATCTAGCGGATGAACGGGGCATCATGGTAGATTAAAACTGTAATGTCATGTAGAATAGTTATTGCTTGATCAAATGTTTCACGCGATGCGAGCTTGGCGCGGAAAAACATGGAAATAAATGTTTCTACGGGACGCGAGCACAATTGCGCGCCGTGGATAAAACACTTTCTCTTCATCACTGTCGGGCATATCCAGTAGTCGAGCACACAGAACTTTGACAGGTACTATAAGCGTTTAAATAAACGGCGATAATTGGATTAATTAACAGGGTCAGCTACAGTGACCGTTTTGTAACAGTGTCTCTGTTAAAAAAAAGAAGTTAACAGTGGCTGTTCTCCGTGTTAGACAGAAAGCGTACCAGCGGGTATCCCGCTAAATCAAGATGAAAGAAAATTCAACGGGCGCTTCAATTAATTAATCCTTTCGCTTAAATGTATTTTTCAAATCACTGGGCTTTTTACAAATTTTCGTCAAACAATGTGAATTAGACATTTGATTCAAATAAGATAAAACTTTGTCCGCTTGTACCTCAAAGAGTTTGGAATTATAGTAATTTTAACACTTGCCAAAGTTTTATTATTTTCTGAAATATCCCTCGAAACGACTGACTAATCTTCGGGAAAACATTATTTGCACATTTATAAATCCACTTGAATCACTTATATTTTAAAGGGTTTGGAACTATGGTAATTTCGAAATTTGTTAAACTGACGACTGTTGTTTTCCAAAATGTCTCAAAATGAAAAGGAGATACAAACATATAGAAACGATGTACTTTAAAACAAATGTTATTAAAGTAGTTGTAGCACAAGATGAGTATTTTAAGAATTTATTGAAACTTGCATCACATATAGATTTAAATATTATCTAATTATTGGCGCAATTAAGTAGATTAATTATTTAGAAATTAAGATATATTCGCAATTAAACATTTTTTATACACATACCCTGATATTAATGTTGTGTTTTTATTTTTAATTTCTTTTAAACTACATTTAAGATTTTAATGAAAAAATGTGATATCATGAACTAATATAGAGGTATTATAGACAAATTTCAGAATGACTGACTATTTTGTTTATATATATATATGTCTACCTCAATTTCATTTCAAACTAACATTTATTAGGTATCGAATATATAGGTAATTTTGCTCGATAAATTTATCAATGGTTTTCTTGATGTATCACTAAAAATACGGCACTCTGCGATAAAATCATCTTACAACCATTTTATGATGCTTCAAAAAACAACAAAGCCTCTGATGTTTGGTAGATGCTGAAGTTCCGAATCATTTCACGTACAAATAACTCGTAAAGAGATCCGAATCGTCGCGCACGATGCCATTTCCAAGCGCTGTTTTCCTCGCTATTTTCTCGCGGAAAACATCGCGATAAGTAAAAATTCCTTGCGTCTCGACGATTCGTCGACGCGACATCGTTTAAAACGATCGCACCGTCGAGCCGTGTCGCGTCGTCCTCTCGCGACATGATCGTCGAGCGCAGTGACGACGGCTAAGTACGAAGAGCGCGCTAAACGCGAGGCTAAATCGACCTAGACGAAAATCCATCCGGCCAGCCGATATTTCAGCGGATCGGCGAATGAACGGAGAGATGACGCGTCCTGATTTACGTAGACGCGTGCGTGCGCGCGTAAGTAAAAGAGGGGACGCGGTGGAATTTCAGGCCGCGCTCGCGATTACGCCCCTAATTGATGGCGAAGGACAAGTTAGCGAGCCGCCGTCACCGGCGTCACCGTCACGTAATGACATCACACACGGCGACAACCTCATAATCGTTATGATGCGTTCGTTCGAGCCAGTGTGTGACGCGCGATCTGGACGAGCGCGCGCGTCCGGAAAAAGAAGAGTGCGCGCGCATTAATTTTGACGCACGCACGAAACGTGAACGGCGTCGAGAATTCTCCCTGTCAATAGTTGTTTTGCGGACGACGCGCCCTCCGCCAGCAGCGTGCTCTACGACATCGGACAGGACCGCGCAACCCGTTTATTTAATCGATGCATTATGCAAATTGACATAACGGCTCCACTTCGGATGCAGTAATCGACCACCATCTCTCGACAGATTCACAATGGGCCAACATGTACGCTGAATAATTGGCAGTAGCGTATCGCCGACTGAAAATCAAAGCCGGCTGGCAACCACCTCCACCCTCTGTCCTTCCTGCTCCACCCGCTCGTTTTCGTTCTCTCTCTCGCTCACCTTCCCTTCTTTTCTCTTTTTCACGTGAATTCTCGTATACATCAAGAGTTAACGATGGACACCGCCTGTGGGCAACGTGCACACACGTGCACAACACTAGAGGTCGTGTGATTTCATCCCAGAACGGGATGCGACGGGGAAAGGTACGACTCGGGAAAATGCAACGGGGTTATCGTATCGAAATTTCCGCGGCTGGAAAGTTTGCGCGAGAGGCTAAACGTGGAGCGAAGACCTCAGAAATAATGAATACTGTGCGCGACTTAGCGACATAGGACGCCGATACTATTCTAGCGTCGCGTAGCGCGTCGGTAGAATCGGTACGATCTCGGTTCTTCTGCGAATCGAATTTCATTATTTATCGGGAACATGATAGTCATTTTGTCGCGTACGAGACAAGTGTGACAAGCTCCCGGCAGTCTCTTCAATCTCTTAAGATCTCTTTATCTGTCGCATCTGGCTGCACGCGCGGACTTTTATTTCCACTCATATATCTCCGAAAGTACCTCTCGTATCTTCCAGTATTCCAGTTTTTACTGCGAGGATCGCGAAAGTTGGGGGTCTGACCCGTGCGTTGCGGCCGTACCACAGCCCCGCTACACAACTTCTCGGCTGTCGTTCATTATTCGGTCAAGGGTCTATCGGATTACTGTCCAGCCGGGATAAACACAGAGGCGGCAGATAAAAGAGAATGCCAGTTAAATAGGATTTTAATGACGGGGCTACGGCGGCATATTCGTTTGCCGATGCGAAGTGTATCGCGACGTCCTTGTCATGGTTTAAACGTCGATTATAGCGAAGTAGGACGATTGTAAAGTGTAATACAGTCGCGGGCCGCTCGCAGTAACACTGCCTTATCTACTTCAATTGCTACGGTACATAGAACATCAAATTTTTATACGATCGTTAAACCAGATAGATTACGATCAGAGGCATCAAACGCTACCCACATACATCGCGCGCATCGTTCGCCGTGCTGGGCGACTTTACACTCTGTATCGTTGACAACGAAACAAATTATGAAAGTGCACGAAGTGCTCCCTAAGGGTCGCGCTACTCGCAACGTCGGAACGTTACGTAAGGTTACGTTCGAAATAGAGTGAGCCGAAAGCTCGAATTAAGAATATTTTGCCGAAAAAGAAACAAAAAAGAAGAAGCAGATTATCCAGTAATACACGTAGAAAATTGCCGTTTGCCGGATATATTCGGACAATTAATACTCTTGACAAACTTTTCCGCTGTCCAAACAAATTTCTTGCCGTCTAAACAAAGTTTTTTCGCTGTAATTACGTTGGCGAACGTTTGCTGTTCCAGAAAAATTCGTTTCTTCCGTGCATCCGCGGAAGAAATGTCCACATAGCAACACTTCTCAGGATCTATTTGGGGTCCGGTTCAATCCTTCCTAAAACAATGATGTATTCCGGTTGGGAAGTTTACGCGGCTTGTGAGGAAATTGTAGAGAGAATCCATGGGCAAACGCGTGCGCGTATAACGCGACGAGTAACGCGAGTGCATTCGCTTCCGTGCGTACGCGCATCCGAGCTAAATGAATCTCCTGCCGCAAGATCCCCTACGGAAGCGAGGATCTTTTTCATAAGTCACGGGTAATCGCGCAATGACTCAATGAACGTAAAATAAACTTCGATCGCACGCGACAAGTTCAGAGACGCGACAGCGGCGCCGGTGATGGCCGAGAGAGAGAGAGAGGCCGAAGGTGCGCTACCCCCGCTTCAACTCCTGTCAACTTCGGTCGCGTCTCGAGATCAGTTGTCGGATGATTCATTCGGGACGTCGCATCGAATGCCGTTCTAAAACGATCGCTAGGATCTTCTTCGCGCATCGGTGCATCACGCGATTCTCTTCCTTCCTTCACCCTCTTTGTCCCCCCCCCTCTCCCGTCGTAATGGAGCGTAATGCGTGCTGTAACGGTCCATTACGGACAGGGAGATATTGAAATTCCGCAGAAGTGCAACTTCGCCGGATGGAA